GACATAAGTGATAAAAGCCTGAATATTTTGTCACCTAGTTTATAGTGCTGACCTGGTTTTCATTGTTATTCTCAATTTCTCATTATTAAAAGTATTTTTGTTCTTCAGGTATATTAATATTCCAAACTTGAAATGCAGACAATGCGGTTATTATCTAGACATATAAAATTTAATTTTTTACCTTTATCTAACAGTATTTTTTTACCTTTATCTAAGTTAAGGTTGGCACTTCAAAAAAAAAATAGGCTTAATAGGTATTTTTCGTCCGTTCTCCTCTAATAAAATAATTGTAATCCCATAACAACTTGTAGGTAACAGTTTTAGCTTATTGTTAGGATTCAATCTTCTATTGTATTTTTTATCTATACTTTGGGTAGTTGCGCAGGAATATGTGGTGACATTGAGACGCGACTAAAATACTTATTTTGAAGGTATCGGGCTGTGTGGCAATCAAACCTTGTAAAAGATTTAACACCAGAATGTACTAACTATTATTACGATTGCAAAAGTAAAAAAAAAAACAATTTTACTTTTTCTTCTTCAAAACTGCTGAATAAAGGTCTCTCTCTTAAGAGCAGATCGAGAGAGCGAGATGGGATAGTTGAATTTAACATTTATTTATTTACCACTTCATGTACAAATATCATACAATGGCGGACTTACAATCATAGTAGGTACCTAGGTACAATAAGTAAAATAATTATTTAAACAACCACCTTTTTCTAGTTGGTGTACAAATTTCAACAACCTTTTTCTAATTAGGTAGTGTAATATTATTGGCTAATTATTGGCAACCCTGATGACGTCACAATAATTAAACATGTGCCTATGGCGACGTATGCGTTCCCAGTATTGTGTTGTTGTACCTACCTGCTTTGTAGAGTTCCAATGAAATCGCTGACAAAAACATCTATTATTTGTTTGCTAGTTATTGAACCACGTTCTAAGATTCTAAGATGTATTTTGTATTTATTTTGTTTAGGAAACACAAATTCTTAACACGATTCTTTAATGCCACATATGGGACACAATTCTAGACTCCGAGATAAGGATCATTCCTTATCTCGGAGTCTAGAATACATGGGACTCATAAATAAAATACTGCGGAAAATAGATGGCAATGTTTGCCACAGTTTACACAGTTTATATCAATACAAACTAAGAGGTCCTTAAACCATATCGTAGTATGTAGTCAGTTACCAAGACTATCACTTAAAGATACAAAATGGAGATACAATTTAAATGTAACATAATAAATATCTGCGTCAACAGTCAGTAGGAATGTAAATAGCTACTTAGGTACTTGTTTATCAAACTAACGTCAGTGTAAATAGTTTCTATTAATATTTAAATTTTCGTAATTATTTATGGATGAATATTATATATTATGCAGCACGAATTTATCATTCTACTGTGAAATTATTTTATTATGTGGTTTATTATATACGTTCATGAGAACCAATATAAAGTTACGAATCTACACACCAAAGTTGCAAATTGTTACTAAAAGTGTTTTTTTAATGTATTTGATGGACTTTCTCGCCTGGTGGTAAGTGATGATGCGGTCTACGATGGAGACGTCGTCCCATAAGTAACCTATTCACTCGGGCTTTGAAAATACCCAGGTTATATACCCTCCAGGAACGAGGAAATACAGACGCTGTAAAAAAAAATGTGATAGGTATCTAGAATCAATGAATTTTGAAGATATGTTTTTTTATACCATGACACTGGCAAAACAGTATACGGCCCACCTAATGGGAAGTGGTTACCGTGGCCTATGAACGCTTGCAACACTTTGCAATTAAAAACAGTACCCAATACTATTCAAAAAAAAAAAAATAGTTTACAGCATCTAGAGTGCATCAAAATACTTATTACTCGACCTACACTTTATATTTTACCGGGACACCATGGCATCGCAACCAGTCGCCGCCACCAACTAAATGTATACACTGATAAAAAGAAAAATGTACCTAAATTGCATACTGATCACTGACGATGACGACTGACCACACACAGTGCTCAAATATTATTTATTGGCTTGCAATAAATACTAAGATAAGTTTTGTATATTAACTTGTTATCTTTATTTGCGTTATGAATTAGAAATTCGGTGTTTATATTTCATAATGCGTATTACTGTTACATATACGACGCTTAAAAAGGGGACACTGTGCACAAGAAATACAGCTTCCTTTTCTTTACATCAAACAGGATACATTAAGAAAATTCATCTTTGAAACTAGGTGCATATATATAGGTACTGCAAAGGATACCTATAACAGCCGACTGCCTCGTTGGCGGAGTAGTCGCAATCGCAAGTGCGACTGCCGGCCAAGGGGTCTCGGGTTAGATTCCCGGGACAGGCAAAGTATTACTGGGATTTAAAAAAACTCAGTAGTAGCACGGAGTCTGTAAATGTGGTATTTGGCAATAGGCTTACCCCCTATTACATAAGACTTTTAACATAAATAGTGAAAAGTGGGTGTAACATTATACAGTGGCATTAAGTGCCGTAATGTGCACCTCTGCCTATCCCTTCGCCCCTTCGGGGATAAAAGGCGTGATGATGCTATATTATGGTACCTTTAAACCTACTACGCACACCTAATTATTATAAATATTTCTTAGATACTTACCTAAACACATACAAAAGCAGGAGCTTGCTCATATGTTTAGCCTTATTCCCCTATTAATAAAATTTCCACACAACATAGTAACACATATGAAACAAAGTACACACTTTATAAGCACATTATTTATGCATACTTAACGAAGTATTAATAAGAAAACCATCAACATACCATTTCTGACCTGCGACACTGATCGTTAATATTGCCTGCTATCATGGCGGTCGATTTGATAAGCGGAATCAATTCAGATCAGTCGGCAAATCAATGTGGCTACGAAATATGTGGCTTGGGTCAAAGGCCAGTTTATTGTAAACTTTGGTTGATAAAATGTAGGAATCTTAAGAGTATGGTACTACTTATCAGTATAAAGTTACGCTAACGCTTTTAGTGGCGTGAAAGCGCTTAAAGGAAGTAAAAAGGCTCTATAGAAAGGTAAGCAAACAAAAAAATTAAATTTTAAAACGCATTGGTTGTCGGTCTCTTGGAGAAGCTATTTGTTCATTTGGAATGCAAAGAAGAATGAGTAAGGAACAGAGGGCTTAATCGAAAAAAGACTGCGTTCGGACCTCTGATTGGATAGTGAATTGGAGATGGCCAATCAGAGCGCCGAACGCGGTCTTTTTCGGTATCTTTCAACTTAAAACAAACTCGTACTGAGCCTCTGAAAGAACTCTATGATTTCTTGTTTTAATCAGTTTCACAAAACATATTTTGTTTACTCGAATAATGTAGTAAGTAGAATTTTCTATGAATCCGTATATTTACGCAATGACGTAAACCGTTTCTTTAAACATTTAAATAAATACCAAATTACGGGAAGAGTGACGTAGATGAAGATGTTAATCAAGTTGGAATTACCGCTAAACCACTCCCAGAGCATTTGCCAACGTCAAGATAAAACTTGAACTGCATTATGGAAATGACGTAAAAAAACGGGTGACGTGTGTACGCGTCATCAGAAAACCTGATGCCGCCTTAAAATGGCGTCCACCAACGTATAGTTTTCCACATTTCTTTTTTTCTACTACATAACTAATTATTTACTTGCTGCAATAAATAATAATAGTGGATCTGTAGAACTACATGTTAATAAAATTAATGTAGAACCTGACAAGAATATGTTAACGACTGCATCCTTCGGAATGCATTCTTGGGTTTACACTACTAAACTGCAACACCGCTTTATATGAATTATAGCAAAAATATAAATGGCCAACAAGACATTTACCTATTTATTACAAAGTCATAGGTAATAGTTATAGACATAATCGTGTGTATTTTAATGATACACGTAAAGAAGGCAGGTACCTATAGGTAATACTTATTAACAGGTAACCTAGTCTTGTATAGATGTCGCGGAGAATCTAACGGGTTACCGGGGCTCCGGTTCGATCTGCAGGAGAAGGAACGGGGTAGTTTTTAGTCAGTAAGAGTCTGACACTAAGGCGGTAGCAGTCATTCGATGATTTTCCCCCTTAAAAAAAATCTTATATAGATATTTTAGTCTTACGCTATGATAGAAATGCATGACATTCATTGACTGCTAAATACACTAATTACGTATGGTAAAAATATCTCATTGATCCATTTTATCGTCTGCAGCCAAGTAGGAACTATTGTGATATGCCGTGTGACTATACTTACCTATATATGTCTATTATTTAATAGACGGGTACTTCATACCGTGACATTGGACATTATCCGTAGTTACATGTACCTATTATGTATGTGTTCAAGTACATAAGTAGCAGATACATAAGCACGTAAATTACTAAGGACTCGATGTAATGCTGACAGTGTTAGAACAGTACTTAATAGATAGCCGCCATGGCAACAATTATCTAAGTAACAGAGACAATAATGAATCTCATCACAAATCTGAGTCACAAGTAGATCGAGTTTGAACCAGACGTGACGTTATGTAAGATGTAACTAACCTCCGCAATCAACGTTTGTAAGTCACGCGACAAGCGAAGCAGTGCTGCCAAACTATGCGAGAATTGGCACTTGCATTCACAATATTACGTAACAATTTTTTTATTCATCTACTTTTCTACGGTACTTAACTGTCTTTCGAAAAGCGATTTGTTCTACAAAAGTGAAACTAAATGCCACCTTTGATACGAAGCCGCGGAGAACCTAACGGATACCGGGGCGCCGGCTCGAAGTGCATGAGTAGGAACGGGGTGGTTTTTAGTCAGTAAGTCTGACACTCCCTCCCGCCTCATCCAGGCTGGATAAGTCATTTGATGATTTTCCCCCTTGAAAAAAAACTACCATTATTCATGTAATTCAACACCTAATAAAATAGCGAAAAATCTTAATCGTAGCACGCAATAATGTTATTTTCTTTCATTGTTTCAGATATTGCCGTGACGTCAGGAGACCGGCTAGAATTTTTTTTAAGCAATGGAACTAAATCCCAAACAGAAGACTCACAGTTCAGAGACCTCACACTGTTAGCTTACGATGCAGTGCACAACATGTTACTGTTTGTCGACAGACAGAGCGACAACGCATCTATATTTAGTTTTAACATTACAAGCAAAAAGTACCAATCTTTAGTTGCTAAGAAAGCATATGAAAATATCCAAGGTTTGGCCTTTGACCCAGTGAAAGGTTTGCTCTTCTGGACTGACACAAACGACAGAAGCATATACTGGATTTCATTAAAGCCTGGATATAAGAACCATCTATACGGCAATCTTTTAATCAAGATGGATGATGAGCTTCCCAGAGCCATTGCAGTGGACAGCTGTAGAGGGTACGTTACTATAGTTGTATCAATACATAGTATAAAACAAAGTCGCTTTCGCTGTATGTCCGTATGTATGCTTAGATCTTTAAAACTACGCAACGGATTTTGATGCGGTTTTTTTTAATAGATAGAGTGATTCTTAAGGAAGGTTTGTATGTATATACATATTGCACCCGTGCGAAGCCGGGGCGGGTCGCTAGTAATTGAATATAGAAAGAAAGAAAGAAAAACCATTTATTTTGCTACGACACACAACAAAAATTTAGAAACACCGAAAAAAGCCCATAGTGCGTCGCAGCGCAAAAGGCTGGAGCTCAGCTTAATACCGTGGACCGGGCACAGAGGCTCGAGCCCACGGCGCTGATTTTCAGCACCAGCCCGTTATAATACGTACTAGCTAAACATCTACATTAACGCTGCTCGGAGTACAGCATGATGTATAATATAGTAAATTAATTTAAAAGTGAGAACAAAATCAACAGCTACGATTACTGCCAAAAATTTAAACAGATGGATAAAAAATAAATAATAAAAATAATAACAAGTACAACATTACATTACACATACATATTAATAACAATAGCACATATTGAAAATAAATATAATTACATTCAAAAACAATTATATCTAACATTAATTGAACTAAACAATAGCTAATAGTGATTTACTCATTGCAGGTACGTCTACTGGACTAACACAAACGTTAAGAAGCCTACGATAGAAAGAGCTCTCTACGACGGCACCAAAAGAGAGGTCATAGTAGACAACAATATTTTTATGCCAGTCAGCTTGGCTATTGACCAGCAGACGAAGAAATTGTACTGGGCTGATGATAGAGAAGGTATTCATTATTCTATTGAAAGCGCAGATTTGGATGGAACGAACAGAAAAACTTTATTAACTGGAATACATCATCAGCCGAATACATTGACGGTCTCAAAGGACTCCATCTACTGGGTGGACTGGGGCTTCAAATCCGTATGGCAACTACCAAAGAACCCGCCGATAGAGCCGGAGCCTGTGCAGATTAGTAACTTCAATCCCGAGACTCCTTTCGGAATTGCTGCTAATTATAAAATTGAAGATCAAATTCAAGGAATTGAGGAATGCAAAGCACTAAAGAGTCTGCCTCAAAATAACTCTGAAATAAGTGACTCTTTCAACATTCCTAAGGATGTCGGCCTATTTTGCGTTCACGGAACTAAAGTTAATGGGAAACTGCTTTGCAAATGTACACTTGGGTACACTGGTGACAGATGCGATATTTCAGTCTGCCAGAACTATTGTTTCCAAGGAGATTGCGGTGTCAATGACGTAGGAAAACCAGAATGCAGGTAAACATCAGTCGGTCAGTCCTGATGGTTACATTGGAGTCGTGTGTTCACTTCTTTCATAATTATTTCTTTTTTTAGATGTAATTCTGGTTACTCTGGACAGAGATGTGAAGTCAATGAGTGTCATGGTTATTGTTTGAACAATGGGGCTTGTTCTTTGAACGAGAAAAATGAACGCGAATGCCAATGCATAGGAGACTTCGAAGGGTCAAGATGTGAGACACCTAAAGTGTTCACTACCACTACAACTTCTACCACTTCCACTTCAACGTCTACACCTACGACTACTACTACGGATGCACCAGTCATGGCAGCAGAAACTAATACAAGTTGCCAGTAAGTATTAATAAAAGTAACATGCATAATATAACATTCTTACATTTTTATCAATAGACAGTGTAGTATATCAATTCAATTGAAATGATACCTGCCACTACTCAACCGACGAAACCATCTAACAATGTTACTTTTACTTTCAAATTGTCCGTAACTTTACTGTTTATTTCTTCTTCCAGGTGCAATAACACTGATTCAGAAGCTGTATCAAGGTCATCAATATCGATGTCTTCGCAAAATGATATCATAGCGACCTGCGGTGACGGCTGGGACTCCGTGAGAGACCCTATCATCATAATTCTGGCGATCATCTGCAGCGCGCTATGTTTAGCTTGCGTAGTACTTATCACAAAAATTCTGCAGCTGAAGAAGAGACCGAGGTAAGTCATGATCTTGATCAATAAGTCTACGTGCTCCTGGCTACTTCCTTAGATCCTCCTCTAACCGCGAAAGATGATACCACCATTTTAACTTAGACGTATTGTTATTAGCCAAAATTCAATCGCGATTTTAATATGCAGTTACAGAACCATTAATAGTAAAAATAGGTGCATCTAAATAACTAAAGTAATGGAGATTTTTATGATGTGGTTTGTACGTGTTAACACAGTAATTCTGACCTTCTGCAAACTGTAATGCATGCAAAAATGCAGATAGGTACGCATGCATACACAAAACGTATGTATAAGCATATAACATACACGTTTGCTAGAGTTGTCGATTATCATGAATCCGAGACCAATTCATATAAAAAGTTCTTGCCATCCTTGCCTTCAATGCCTTTGTAAGTCAACAATTTTTGAACATTAGATTTCTGGTAAGCAGATGGTGCAACTGGCATTTAATATTCCATCATCCTAAAAGATAGGCAGCCGGGGCTTCGGCTCGACGTGCAGGAGAAGGAACGGGGTCGTTTTTAGTCAGTAAGAGTCTGACATTCCCCCCCGCCTTACCCAGGCGATTTTCCCCCTTAAAAAAAGGGTCTGAGAAAAAAAGGGCGTACCTCAAGTTTCCATATTGGGTTCTTTCCGCTTTGTAGCCTACATCACCGCGTTGCTATTAAAAGTCTTGTCAGTTCAAACACTATAGTTTGTCAATCTCTTATTTTACCAACAGTAACTATGAAACTAAAGATTTATATTCTGTAATTATGCAATGTTATATTATTACTAAAGAAAAATTAACACAGTTACTGAGAATGACGTAAATTTGTTTGCGTTTGCGCATTGATACGCCCTTCAAATTGATTACAGTATCCTTGCCGCAAAATTTTAATATTTAGCATTTCCTATTTTTAAACTTTTAATTTAACAAGTCAATGTAAGACTATTAGATAACATTTATTCATAGCGAAGCAATTAAATTCATATAATACTGAATTTCTAACTACATAACACCTTGTTATTTTTTCCTGTTAATTATTATTAACAACAGATTCCAAAGACATATCTATCACAGAATAGTGTTTTATTTGTTAGAAACACGGCAAAAGAACCAAAAATAACATATTTACTATTTTAGGATAGTTTCTTTGTGGCTCTTTCGTGTAAAAACTAATAACTTCATCAAGTCAGACATACACTAGACCTTTCTTCTATATCTAGAACGGGGGAGAAGCTAGTCTACGGTGACTGCACGGTCGGTGTGGTGGCTGGTAAATCGGTTACTACGTAACGTATATCGAGTTCTATTCTTGCACGGAGCAACTCTTTGTGTGATTCACAAATTCTTATTCAAAGTCAAAATCATTTATTTCAATTAGACCAGGGAGGCACTTATGAACTTAAAAATTTAAAAGTGAAGCTATTTGAATATGTTTAGATGCTAATTCCGGGTCTGAGTGTCATGTGCATGTAAAATTGTATGTTTGTATAAACGCACCCACGACACAGGAGAAAATCCTAGTGTGTATTGCCCACGTTTTAAAAAAAGAAATATAATAATATGTACTAACATCCTCTATTATTATTTTCAGAATCAAGAAGCGTATAATCGTGAACAAAAATGTTACGCCGATGACGGCAAGGCCTGACCAATGCGAGATCACCATTGAAAATTGTTGCAACATGAATATTTGTGAAACTGTAAGTATTGCACAAACCTTATATTTTAACAAGTTAAAATTATGTGCTGCATATTACTATTTACTAGTAACAGAACTTTATAAATGTACTAGCTGACCCAGCAAACGTTGTTTTGCCATATAAAAAATTTAGGGGTGGACTACCCCTAACATTTAGGGGGTAGAAAAATAGATGTTGGCCGATTCTCATAGATACCGGATAAGCACGAAAAACATCAAAATCGGTCAAGCCGTTTCGGAGGAGTATGGCAACGAAAACTGTGACACGAGAATTTTATAAATTAGATATTAAAGAAACAAAAGCTATTGCTTGCAAACAAAACAAAAAAGCAAAATACAAAATTTTATTCAAATTATTGTAGTCGTTTCGGAGTGTAATTTATTTGACAAATTCTAGTAATTTATTTGACAAATCTAAGACGATTTATATTGAACAAAACAATTAACTAGCGGTATACAAATTAATATGAAAATATTTAAAAAAATTGCGTTGACAACATAAAACATTAAATTAATATTCATCAGACAATATTTGGATGGAAGTGAAAGACAAAATATTAAAAACATCTGGAAAACTGTTTTTATCGACACCTAAATAAATACTTGTAATTAAAATATGCAATACAAACAGCATGAACAATATGTATTAAAAATGAAGTTTTTACTTTTCCTTGATACAATAAGTGGTTGAATATTTATCGCCCATTTAGGTTTTTTAAGACGTACATATCATATATAAAAGAATTACTACTTCTTTTAGCAATAATTTATTGATAGATGTTAGTTTTTATAGGAACGTCTGTGTTTGGTTCACAAATCCCTAATTGGAGGCCTAATTACCCCTCTCCCTGATCTCCCGAATGCCCGAATCCCCCACAATCCTCAAATTACCAATTCCCAAAAAGCCGGTAACGCACTTGTAACGCCTAGGTGTTTCGAGTGTCCATGGGCGATGCCGATTGCTTACCATCAGGTGATAGGTCTGCTCGATTAACGGCTTATGCTATAAAAAAACCGTTATGAATTCCTAAAAAATTGACATAAGTACATTATTTATTATCGTGTTATGGAAAAATATATATAAATACACCTATAAAATACCTATGTCCGTATATTTTTACACAACGCTGCTTACCCCACCCCAAGAAGGATTGATGTGTCTTAATAATGAGATAGATAGTATTAATTGCCGTGTTAAACGGCACGTAGTATTTTAATAGATAGTGTTACCAAAATAACAGACTATAATCAGCATGATACGCATAAGGCATAAGATAATTAAATCACTATTTGTTATGACAATTTTATTGGCATGATTTGTGTAAAATGTGATTTTTACAACTAATTTATTGTTTACCTACACATATCTAACTAATTTCAGACTTGCTATAAGACTTTTTTCTCTATAATTAAAGTTTATGTCCATAAAAGAAAAAATCTATTTAACATCCCAAAGATGCAATAATAAATTGGGCTCATTAGTCATCTAACAAAAAAACAAGATTAAAAACATATGTATCTCCCAAAACCACTGTAGGTACATACACTTAAATTGAAGCGTCATTCCTTGCATCTACTTGCATTCATTCATAAATTAAAATATTTAAAATATATGAACCCAAACGTATACAGTGACCATGAAAGTTACCTCTAAAATAAAAATAAACATCAAAAAATCTCTTTGCACAAATCATTCATTAAACACATAATATCGATCCAAAACAAAATAAGACATAAGCATGACTAGCCACATTTTAATTAAACATCAGATACCTAATTAAATAATGATTATCTGCGGAAAAATCGCAAATATACCTACATTTCTTGCGACAGTCAGATAATAATGGACACTTGTTTAAATAACAAACAACATTTTTGTCATTTGTTTGTAGCAGTATTGCCACGCTTGGTAAGTCACGTGTCATATATACATGACAAGTGGCGTACCAACAACTATCGTGTCGTGTCATATTTATCAAATAGAATGTCGATACGTGTACACGTGCGCTTATGTTAAACTATGTGTCTATCCACACGATAGGTGTTTGTTTGCAAAAAATCTGCAAGATTTGATTGTCTTGCATAACTGCTTAATCATAAAACATAAGCATATACATAATCTTTACATATAATTTTAATACACTCACTAGTCAATCAAAATGGTAATTTTCTATAAATAGTCAGATGTCTTATTGAAGAAGATAATTATGAAGTTTGACAGAGAATCCAATATTTTGTTATTTCATTTTGTTTGACGCCCATAATTTTTATTTTTTCTCTCATTTCCAATATAACTATGCTGTGTTTTCCGTCATGCTTGCACTCACAGCTTTAACGTGCTTGATAAGTTCTAGTAGGAATTTTAGTATTATGGGAATTTTAGATCCTTACTAATATTATAAATCGGAAAGTGAGTTTGTTTGTTTGTTTGTTCCTACTTCACGCCATAACTACTAAACCGATTGCATTGAATTTTTGCAGACGTAAAGTTAGTAGTCTGGATTAAATAATAGGGTACTTTTTATCCCAAAAAAATTTGAAATTCCCGAGGGAAAACAAAAGTATTGGTATAGATGGCGCTGTATGTATAGGTATATGTCACATAGGCTACTTTTTATCCTTTTGTGACGCGAGCGAAGCCGCGGGTAAAAGCTAGTAAATAAATATTTGGGGGGCACAATGTACATTTATGGCACTTATTTAAATGTTATTAAGGTAGTCAATGAAATGGGATCTTGCAGTAAAATATGTTAAGTCATAGTTTTTCTGTCACGCTAATAAGGCTACTTTTGATCTGATGATGGAGCCGAAATACAGTCGAGGGAACTCCTTGAGGATTTACAGCAATGGACCCGTGTTTGGGCTTGGATTATTTGTATTAATGAGGACTTAACACTTACAAGTGTTAGTATCTGTGTAGTATGTTAGCATGAGATTTTAATGCCCATGACATTCCACACAGGTTGATAATGCTTGGGCAAGTCATCTGCAATGAATTTGATCCTTGAGCCGTTGCAATAAGGTTCACATTTTGATCTTACTGCTTAGCCCCGCATGGTTTGGGTTCACGCTCACTAATTTTACTAATATTTTTTAAATGCCGATTTTGGAGTTCAGAATTTTATGATAACAATATTTTATAGTATTGAAAATTTATAAGCATCCGTCTTGTAGCTTTAAAATTGCTTATTTATAGAAGACGGACATTTTCCATAACATAGCTAAGTCCTGTGTTGCAGATTAAATAAATATGATTCAAGGCACATATTAATTTAAAAATATCTTGAATATAAGAACTCTCAAATACGGTATTTAAAATGTTAGGTATTTCTGGTTTAATTTTATTTGCCTATGTAGCATGTGTATGGAGTTCGTTGCATTTGCAAGCACATGAAATTAAATAATTGTGTATCTGTAAAATATTCCTAGACGTGTGCTAACTCCTAATAACAAATTAATAACAATAATCACTAATTGCTTTCAAATCGAGGGTATAGCATATTTATAATTATAGAAAAAAAACAATATTATTTCATATTTTCAGGATTTGTAACTGTATGACAAAATAAAACATGTTATACAGCACTCATCCAATTATAAAGCTAAGGTTTATGCCCTAAGACAATGTTGCACTAAATACGCTATGCAACAAGAAAATAAATTTTAAAATACATTATATTATATCAATAAATTTTATTACATTATCTAATATAAAATAGTCATCCATACTAAGGTGATGGAAACAACTCCCAGAAGCAAATTTTCTATAGAAATCTTAATTAAAAATATATATTTTGTTGTTACAGCCGTGTTTCGAACCGAGATCAACTATAAGACCATCATTACTAGACTCAAAACCAGGAAAGGAAGAAAAGAAGAATCTGATTGCAAATATGGAATATCCAGATGACCCATACTAACATTTTCGGTTATTCTTTGTGGCGTACAATACTTTGGCTATAACACTAAGGCACAATATATATAGGGAATTATTCAGAAAATATGGATTTTTTAAGCATTGCAGCTGAGGTTAGATTGAAAAGGTTTGGCCACTTTTTTATGATCAGACTGTGATGTCGGTGCTAATTTCTGTGGTGGATATTACTGCACAAAGTTATACTCTTCCAACTTAACTAGGGTAAAGTTAAAGACAATTTTTTCTTGAGAAAACTATAGTTCTATATAACATTTCATATATCATCAAAGAGAAAAAAATTAACACCGTGTCAAAAAAAATGTGGGAATGTTTTCCATTTACATTTTAAACTATGAGGCCTTAAGAAAAGGTTCATAATTACTTTTCTGTACTGAATATTCCTTATAGTATTGTGCTAAGGTTTACATATATGTGATATTCGATTAAGGATTGAGAAATATGACGCGAAAAACGATTACATTAATCTTTTACGTCGTCTGAGGGCTGTGCATGATTGCTAAAATCTGAGTGCATGGTAACTAGATTTTAGGTGTTATTATTTATTTGAGTTTAATGAGAACAGGCATATCGTGGATACGTAAACCTTATGGAACATTGCTAAAATTTACATTACATTACACATTGTTTGATTCACAAGGTGCCTTCCTGTTAACTTAGCGATTAACATATCTGTTTTGTTCCAAATTAATTTGAATAACATGTGAATTTTAGCATAGTTCCTATGATGTAGGCATTTGAGTCAATTTTTCGTTATTTTTCTCCATTTCCAATATATCTTAAATCTCTATTTAAATTATTTTCAAAATGTCGATTCCTTTCTTTTCTTTATTCGTTAAGTTATAGTGACTTTGTGCCAAAGTTTATATCGTTTTTTTATAAAATTTGTTGCTTCCTTACACGATAATAAAAGAATATGATCGGCTTCTAATAACGTGAAATGGTCTCGAAATGAAAGATAATGTAGCATTTATAAATTATGAAAAATAGTGTACTTGAAATATGGGTGCAGATTTTTTGTTATTATTTTCTAATTTAGGTACCTACTGTTACCAAATTTTTTGAATAATTATTATGAGTTTTTAATTTAATTAATAACTATTTTTTTGATCATTTTCGACATGTCATTGTAGAAAATTCATTGAAAATTATCAACAAAAAGTAATTAGTTGAATGGGTTGTATTGTACGTCTTTTTAACCGACTTGGGAAAAGGAGGTTGCTTTGAGACTTAATTTTTATTCCGTTTTGTGTTCAATATTTAAATCCAACAACTTGTCATCTTTGAATTTTTGGATATTTTACTGCCAGTGTGATAAATGGGTTATTTTGTAAAAAAATGTATTTCCTAAACGAAAAAAATGCGACTGTAAACAATTGAAAAAACAACTGTTCCTATTTAGAGGATGATCATTCTTAATTTTCATGAACTTAGGATTATTTTTGACGACCAAAAAAGAAAATTTTGACAGTGAAAATTATCTAGGATCATCTCAAAAAGTGAATTTGTTAATGGAACGCTAAACTTAAGGTTCAATTTTCCAATCATCATTAATAAATAAATTTTATAAACCTGACCAAATTAAAAATAATGCAATATAAATTCAAGTTATTCCGACATTTTATGTAATTATAATCTAATTAAATTATCTGATGATTGCAAAAATGAACCTTAAAGACATGCTGTAGACTTGAAATATCAAGAAACGTAAAAAATATTATTTTCCATATATTTAGCGGGATTTTAAGTTTCAAAGGTCACATAAACTTGCCGTATTAATGTCAAGACTGTGGCTCAAAAGAATTAGTACAGTCAGCGACGATAAAAACTGTTGTTATGAAAATAGGACGTCAAAGGTTGTTCATTTAGTTTGTAATTATTGTATGAAACCAACTATACCGACTGCTTACAAATAAAATTTTTTATTTTGCCAAATATGTGAAAAAATTGAGTGAGAAATTATTATATTGGTCGGCAATAATATCACACTTGATGTTTAGATAAAGATTACTCCGTTTTGAAAAGAATTGTGCCTTTTGGCTATAATGTTAAGCTGATTGTCTTTAACTCAGTATGTAATATTGAATTATATTTAAAATGGCTTTGTGGGCAGTGTGAATAGTTTTTCAGAAGCAAGGTGCCTCACTTCTCGATTTAAACTAAGCTTAGGACTACAGACTTGCAACGGCTTTTTTATAATTTTATTAAAGGACGCATGCGTGGTATAATTCATACCATTTAGTTTGTTAGTGATGTGCCAATAAGTCCGTAGTCCCAGGTTCAAGGCTCAGGTCGTTCTGAACGATGGAACCGTTTAGCTTTTAGTGTAAGAATTTGCGTTCCTATAGATAATTCTAAAATATATATTTATCAGAGTACCTCAATATAGATAAATAATTTATTGAAAGTGAAATATTTTATTTAGGGAATTTGCGAATTAGTGACATATATTATTATAATAGTTCAGTGGTAGAATAAGAAAAATGATTATTTGGTTATTGGTTGTATTATTTTGGTGCTTTACTTTCTTTGTTAGCACAGAATCTCAAGTTGTGAAAAAAATTGTACTTACTAATGATTTTAATTCAAAACTTTTTACTATTGTAAATGACGTGTGAAAAAAACGCCTTAGAAAAGATTTTTGATATCAAATCATCAAAAAAGTTTACCATATTTTTATCAAATCGCAGAACATATTTGAACATGTTATGTCATTTTACACCTTATGACCTTAGTAACAAACTTGATAATGCAATACAAAAATCTTTAACTAGGCGTTGAATCAAAATAGTCGTACTTACAATTTCCATATTTATTAATACTTGACTGTACTTAATTCAAACTTTAGCAGCTACTTACAAAACAAAGGCACCATACTTAATTTTTGTCCTATATTGGTGGTACTTAGACAATTAGAAATTTATTATTTTTGTAGTTAGTTTAGATTTAGTCGTGGATTGATAATATCCACATGAGAAATGTGATATTATTGAGTCTTTGTATAAGCCTAAGTTAGTGAATATTGTGATTAAATAGTAATATTATAATAAATCAAAAGAGCTTGCATAAATAATTTTGTTTAATTTTCCTATCAACCTATCGATATTTAAACAATTAAGACATTATAGCTTACTCACATAACTGTCCGAGGTTCGATAAGTTTCGTGACACGACTGGGGATCATAACCATGAGCGCCATGTACGACGATAGACGTAGGAGGCAGTTGGCTGCGCAATGTCGACCTCTTAGGATCTTATACTCACTAGAACTTTATTACATTTGAAATAAAACCTGTTTTCGCTTGACAACTTCATTTATTTTATAGACAAGAAGATACAAACGGTTTTGTATGGTCGATTTGGTCTGAGAACAGTTTAATTGGTATAAACTTAAAATCACATACTACATAATAGGTGAGGTGAGAGATTGATAGATATTGTCTAGTAATACTTTTATAAAAGCTTTGCTCTTTGTCACAGTCACATAGTAAGTTGAAAATGTGCCTTTTTGTGATGCAAATAAATCTCTTATATTAATTTCTGATGAAATATATCCATTTTCTCTAAAAGTATAGAATCTTACGTGTAAATTAATGTTTCATAATAGTCAACAACTGATATTCTGAAACACATACAAGGCACATAACAATATAATCTCATATTTAGTTTGGATAAATCTCAATTTTGATATACATACACCTGCTTACAGACTAACTTAAGCACTGACAGTTATATCCTGTGGCGTCGGTGATAATTTACCACAAGAAACGAAAAACCTCACCCATATAATAGAGGTATACTAAACAATATCTATGTACCTCAGGAACCTCTACACAACGTACAAATCATAATAAATACATAATTAATCAGTATATTTTACACAACCGTTGTCCAAGCATAAATAACTTAGGTATCTAGTTGAACAATTATCACATACAATAAATACTTCTTGGTCTAACAATGTAAATAAAATTCACATTTTTATAAAGCAACTATGATATTACGTAATATGTTCTCATGTATATATCTATATATTAATATAAGGGTGTAAGGGGAACGCTTCCGCAAAACACAGACATTTTTTTTATTTTTATAATTTTAATAGTTTTGTTTTCGTTTTATTCATACAACATCAGCCTTGAACAGTTGATTACAACTATTATTACATTAAAGAAACATTTAATTATTTACGTTTTTGTAAATAAATCTCGTTTTTACCATCATCTGTCTTCGTTTTTTAATAGCGTTCTCCTTCCACCCCATAGATACAACGACTAGGCACGATATACAACAATTCACATACATACATAATGTATACTACTATACTAAAGACAGCAAAACTATTATATGGGGACGACAGATAGAAACAAGGCATAGAATTTAAACTATGTGCAGCGGGCCCTTTTTTGAGTGGAGAAAATCATCCTGACTTCCCCCTTGGGTAAGGCGAGAATAATTGAACTAAATAGATGTTCATAGCCTTGCATAGTGAATATATTTAGAATATCTATTTATAGGATAAACTTTACAATTGTTTTATTTTTGGTCAATTTATGTAATGAATTACTTTTGTTATATTCTTTAATACTTTATACAATGTGACATACATAACATAAATAATATTGTGACCAAAAGTGATATTAATGTTACATAACTATCGTGTATATTATCTAAGTAAATACAAGTATTTTTAGCAATTTTTTTCGTTATAAAACACCTGCTACATGTATATAAACACTGTTTTGAATATGATATTAAATATCTAATTGTTATACAGAAAGCGTATTAATTTCATATATTGTAGTTCATGTTCTTTTTGTAATATAAAATGCAACAATGACAATGCAATCTTTAAACGAGGTACTATATTGCGAACACATTTTATTATGAAAAATTACATGAAAAATGAAGAAGTATGTATATGATATACTAAGGATTAATAATCTCGTAAGAAATAGTATTATATATTACGTCTAAATACATAATATTTATATATTATGTGCGTAGCTTTTATAGCAATATATATTAAGATATTAACGTAACTTTACCTATGTATATTTCTTTAAAAATAGTGGTATTCGAGCCTTTATCATAGGTCTTATCGTAGACAAATATATTTACTATGATAATATTTAATAAATTAACAAAATAATATGGTAAAGTTTAATTTAAACCGACTTATATTTAGCCTACCTGCCTGACCGAGCTCGATAAGAGCTTCAGATTAAATACATTTTCATTTAAGTGAAATGGACTGTCTGTAATAAATATTCTTCATAAAACAATTAAGCTACGCAAAGCCAAGGTACACTGATCAAGTTACAAACGATTAAAACTCATTAAATCAACACATTTTTCGACTTATTAGCGTAAATACACATGCTAATTTCAATATGCATGGGCGACAAAGGCTCGATACTTTAACAAATAAATAAATAACAAACAGCCAACGTAATTATTTATTGAGACATTATTATGACAGTAACACATTGCACAAATTAATTTCTATTGCACCCGTATATCTACTTAAAAGGGAGTCGACTACTCGATAAACCCCTTAAAAATGTGATGAAAAAATAGGAAATAATACTACGTATGTAAAAAAGAAACAGTAAAACAATAAATTATGTATATACCTCGTATTGCTACTAGGAATGTCAATAGAACATGTTATATATAATTTACGAGTCATACAAGTTGTCAGAGCAAAAAATAAGTCTTTTATATATAGAGATAATAAATATAACTAATAAAGTAAAGTCTGCTTAACTAAACCCTGCCAATTTATGTTGAAAGTCAGAATTGTCAAAATTATATTATTATTATTCGCTAATTATTATTATTATGCGTGTTAATGACTAAAGCTATGTTACACGTACTTACGCACAGCTTTTTACGTTATGTGATGGTGCAGATCAATTTGTTTTCATTGGTTCTGGAACAATAAATATACAACATTCAATCATTTCAATTAAATATATTGTTTATTGTGTATAAAATAGCCATGATAGATTAAGTTGTACAAACCGAATTGCTATAAGAAAATCACTATTGCTTTCATCAAAATACACTTTTCGTTCCTTATCAATTTATGGCGAGAAATTCTTAAATGAAAGTAAAAGAAAATAATAAAAGATAATACGCTTGCTCAATGCAGGTTGGAGATTTCAAACTTATAATTGGGTACTTGCCATCTAGTCAAATTCAATTCCTTTTTCGAACTGTCAAAAACTACTGTTTTCTATGAATTTTTACAAGATTGTAACATCACGTTTTCTTTGGCGTAAAGCAGCATACTTATTTCTCAAAAAAATGCTGTAAAATACTAAAATTAAGTTGATCATTAAATCAATCAATGAAATTTTTAATATTTTATTGTATTGAATAGTCGAATCAATTTATTTTTGATTCAGGAAAGTACCCAATTTGAAATTATAATCCCAGGTTTCCTCACAATGTTTTCCTTTACCGTGTGTCTAAAACTCTAGATAATCTTAGAAAGTACATATAATTCGGAAAAAGTACAAGTAAGTAGGTACAAGTAAGTAGGTACAAGTACCAATGTGACTCTGTGACCAACCTACCTGGCTTGCCGTTGGAACTTCGAACCCGCACTCTCATGCATGAGAAGAGGGCGTCTTAAACATCCGGACCACCGCTAAAAATGATTATAATTAGTATGAACACCCCTACCACTTACCATGATCGTTAAGCAACGCAGCTAACTCAGCGACTCGATCTCGATGCGAATACATATACATTTGCGCTTCCCATAGCATAGTGACTAAGATTTCATCGTTCTTCTCGTCCATAGCGACGTCTTTCGACATTTGTGGACAGAACCGGTAGTAGGGCACTCCGACTGCACTACACCACGCTCGTGCTCGGTCTACTACACGACCATCTGATTGTGTCGCCTGTAAAATCGAATGAAAAATTACATTATGAATTTTACTTTGTTTAAAATATGCTTTGTTAGGCTTAACTGTCTTATTATAACTTGTGAAAAGGCAGCGGAGATGTCACTGTCGAAAAAATTACAGCTTTTTTTTATCTTTATTTATTTAGGAACCTTTAACAATATGTTACGCCAGTTCCATTGTAACTTTCTGGAATCACTTAAGACTTAATTACATAGTAACTAATGAATAAACTAATTTAGCCTCTGTCGACATTGGTTTGGCTAAGATAATATTAAATACTCCTACATCTAACGTATTAATATTCAATAAATTAATCAAAATCTTGCTCTCGGGATCATTCCCGACACACTCCACTAGACGTTGGTAGACATCATCTATTTTATTACAACAAGCTGGACAAAACGGAGAATCCACCATTTTCATAAGGAATTTAGCTTTGAATATCAAGGTAAGATTTATGTTGCGACGCTGATGGGGTAGCGAAATAATGAATAATATATTATTTTGTAAATAGGTTACAAAACAGCTATTTTTTTGAAAGTAGAGTAACGAAAGAAGTATACAGAGCGGTATATGAATGGGGCCGTCGGTAGAGGGCGCCCTAGACAGACATATAGTGACCAGATTGGCGATTATATTAAAGAAGGGCCAAATTAAAAGTACCCTTAACCGACGAGCATGCGTGAAAAGATTGATGACTGTTAATGAAGCGAAAGAGGTATGTAAGAATCGTAGTAAATGGCGTTCCTTAGTCTCTGCCTACCCCCATGGGAGACAGGCGTGAAGTTATGTATGTATGTATGTATGTATGTACAGCCTTTTTACACGTTGACAATAAAAAAAATTCAAGATGGGACCGGGCCGGCCAACATAAACACTACACTACAACGTCATGAAGCTACTTTTTTATTTTCAAGACATGTCTAACACCAGTTTTATAATTACCTGATCTACAAGAAGGCCGCCGATAGCAGACAGTCCCCATGCAAGCCTGGCCGTGTCCCACAAACTCTCCGGCTTGAACACGTCTATATCTTTTAACTTCGATACTGGAATTAAACCTGAAAATAGTCGTTTAATAATTATTTAAATGGTTAAAATGGTTCAGGATTAATGGCTTCTTCGTCAGTCAATTGCTACGACTGCCGCGGAATTGATCGCAGTTTGATTCAGCTGGTCGAGTCAGCCAATGTTTCACAGGATCCGATTTGTAGCCGATTTGATCAGAGCCCAGAAATAGTACCCGGTACATGATAATGGTTTCTCTTATTGCCAGGGACTTAGAACATAACTTGTAAAAAGTGGATGATGCACTAGCTTTAAATTCTCCGTTTAAAAATAATTCAAACAATATCACTAGGATCAAATACATTATCCTCTTTTGCACCCCGCAGTCAGGTAAATCGCTTAGTGGTACAGTACGGTTCACGAGTTATTGCGGGTGTGAAGTTAGCCGCAATTCACTTTCACGCACGTATACTCGCAAATAAACTGATTAAACGATAAAGTGATTGTGTTTAATTAGAGTCAATCCCTAGCATATCCCTGTCCCACACACGTCGCCGTTTTGGTTCCCAAATTATTGCGTTATGCGTTAACGCATTCACTGCCCAGTGGATTTTCTCCAGTGCCCGAATTATAAGACATTCTACAGTGCCCCGCACGCACTATTGCGTTCAATGTTTGCCCGTTTCGTGTGCCGGAAACTCATATACGCGTTCTTACGGCTCTCACCGTGTGCCCGAAACTCGTATATGCGTCCGTTCGACTCTCGGCGAGTGCCCGCGACGCGTCTGTGCGTTTGTTATATACTTACAGAAATACGATAGAATATTATGTATCTGTAGATAAAAGTTAGGGTGATGACACACTGCAATGGAATTTATGATTCCAAAAGATAATTTATGTAGAGAAATTGAAAAATTTATCCAATCTTTCAGACTTCAAAAAATTTAGTTTCTTAGTTTGACCTGTATGTATGTTTGTACGCGATTGTCTCGCGATTGATTGAACCGATTTTAATGACGTTTTTAGAAATGCTTTTGTTATACTTAGGAAAAAGGTATATTAATAAGTTTAGGTTTCTTGGAAAAACAATTAGGTATCTAGGTAGATTTTGGTTTTAGCTCTCGTGGTATTTAAAATCTTCAAAGGCACCGCCGTGCATTGTATTGCCGTTATCAGCAAACTAATGTGATTCTATTGTGCGTATGTAGATAAGAGTCATATGAAATATTAGGTTTCTTGGAAAAACAATTAGGTATCTAGGTAGATTTTGGCTTTAGCTCTCTTGGTATTTAAAATCTTCAAAGGCACCGCCGTGCATTGTATTGCCGTTATCAGCAAACTAATGTGATTCTATTGTGCGTATGTAGGTACGAGTCATATGAAAGTTTAGGTTTCTTGGAAAAAGATGAGATAATCGAGATAACATTGAAAAAAAAATACCACCCACGGTGATCGTAGTCTTACGTGGATAAAAAAGATAAATTATATTTTTTCTAAATTGTTCTATATTTATATTTCGAAACGGCTAAACAAAATTTGTTGATTATTGCATTGGTAGTAGTAGAATAAGTTTTTTTATAATTCGTATGTAGTGTGTAATGACCTTTATCAAAGAAATCAGATAAGGAAGTACATATGTGTAAATATGGGTTTCGAAACAATAGACCCTCGGACGCGTCGACGGGCAGCAGGTAAAAAAAGGGTCAAATGAATAGAACGCATATTTGAGTCCCGGGCACATAGCGTCGTGTCACAAAACGCACAGACGCGTCATGGGCACTGAATGCGTTAAAAGTTATTGCGCAGTTTTCTGCACGAACTTCACAGCCGCCATAACTCGTGAACCGTTTACGCTCGCACTTGAGCTCTCCGCTCAATGTAGGAAAATATGGCCGTCACCGCGAGTTAGTCTGTTGCCTCCCGCCCCTAACACACACAGTGACAAATTGTTTTAGTGTGACTAAATCATAGGAGAATGTGCGCTGTCGTTTAAAGAATAAGGCTTATATTTGAATTACTGAGTTATCGATGCCGCGTGTGTGCACTTATTCGTAGTATTGTTTTGTCAGAACTGTGTGTGTAATATTAGTTTTATGGAGAGACAGTTGTGGCTTCACCGGTTTTGCGTACATTTTTGAGTCCACACCATATCTCCTACTTTATTATAGTGGTTAGAACGCTTAAAAGTTTAGAAATAATTTACTAACCTGTGCCACATGACACAACTACTTTAAGGTTGGTTTTCTTAGCCTCCTCGTGTTGCCCTGTAGCTCGTAACGCTAGGTTCAGCTCCGTCAGCTCTGTTAAAACATCTAATGTCGGGTTGTTCCCCATTAAACCACCATCCAAGTATCTGTAACAGTTATTTATTCTCAAAGACTGATGACTGTTGAATGCAGTGAAAGAGGTTTGTAAGAATCGTAGAAATTAGCGGTCCATAGTCTCTGTCTACCCCCATGGGAGACAGGCGTGAAGTTATGTATGTATGAATGTATTACGTTTATTGTAATATTTGATGGATAATTTCATTTAAGTACAAGCGATAGTACATTATGCCATTGACAAAATTCAGTTATTAATTTAGTCATTATTAAAAAAATTTGGCTCCTATCTTGAATTTTTTCATGGGCTGACATTTTATTACGGCAAAATTTAAACGGGGTTTAAAAAAAAGTCCCAGTAGTAGCACGGAGTCTGGAATTGTGCCCGGTATATGGCAATAGACTCACCCACTATTACATGATATTCATAATATAAATAGTGAAAAGTTGGTATTACATTGTACAGTGGCATTAAATGCTAGTTAGTGATAAAAAGGCGTGATGTTATGATACCTTGTTGATTCTTACAGCCAAACCCTGATGGTAAAGTACCCAAATAAGTTACTATTGTTGCTGAAACACCAAAGCTAGTACACTGACCTGCCCGAAGCCCTAAAGTATGAGGGCGCGGCTCCAGTAGCGCGCGCCGCCTGCCACACTAGCTGCTCGGACGGGGGCGGAGGCTGCGCTAGTGACACCACTGATGCTTGGTCGCCTGCTTCTGCGTGAGGACCTAAAATTAAACATAATCTTATATTAATTATTATGTTTTCGGTTTAATCACGTAACTGCTTGACGAGAAACTCGACTAGTTTCAAGCCATTCTAGAGGTTCATATTCATGAGCAGCATTCCGCGAACCGCGAATCGGTGAGTGTCGCGCAGCTACTGCCTTACAAAAGTTTTAATATAATCTTATATTATTATATAAATAAAGCTAAAGAATTTATTTGTCTGTCTGTTTATTTGTTTGAACGCGATAATCTCAGGCACTAATGGTCTTCGGCGAAGCGTCACCGATTCATGGTAGGTGTCTCACTCACATGCACGAAGCGCTTCGCAGCAAGCTTCCTTGTGCGTGCTGGTAAGGAGTGAAATTCTTTGCCAGAATCTGTATGTCCTGAAGGGGTGTCTTCAAGGCCAGAGTAATTAGGTTGCTTATGGGACGACGTGCTCTATCGTAGACCGCAGTATCAGCGCATTGTCAATGTCGGCCCATCAAATATATACCCCTCCGGTAATTAAAAGGCAAAACAAAAAGTCACTTATCAATTTTTTTTCCATATCTGACTCTATTGCGAATACGACAAAGTTGGCTTTTGTTTAACAATTTTTTTAATCACACAATACCAATTTTAATTTTTAGTTCCTGTTTAGATGTGTTGTGTAGGCACATGTATGTTCTATGTACACATTGACTTCACGAAACGAATTATATTTAGACTACAGTCATTGTAGATGTACTAGACTTTAGAGGATGTTTGTATTAAAAAACGTGTGTTACTAAGACTCAAGGTCGATTAACAGTGAAGCTTTTTATTTTTCAAAAGGTCTTAAGAAGATCACCTCTGGCTAGTTAATATTATTGTTTACCAGATAGTAACAAGTCACATTTTCAAGTTAACAAATAAAACTGGAATACAAATAAATGCATGGTTGGCGCGGTAGATGGGCTACTGGCTGCCGCGCAACATGTCGCAGGTTCGGTTTGCGCACGGAATAACTCTTTGTGTGATCCACAGATTGTTGTTCCGGGTCTGGGTGTCACGTGTATGTGAACTTGTATATTTGTAAACGCACCCAAAACACAGGAGAAAGCAAAAGGAGTATTTGGACATAAGCTGTTAAACAAATTTAATATGTTTCACACCACGTTACTTGTTTACAATTACAATTACAAGTGTGGGAGAGCCATGCTTCGGCACGAATGGGCCGGCTCGACCGGAGTGATACCACGGCCTCATAGAAAACCGACGTGAAGCAACGCTTGCGTTGTGTATCGTCGTGTGAGTGAGGTTACCGGAGGCTCAATTACCCTCCCCTTCCCCAATCACCCCAATCCCTGAATCCCCAACGATCTTCAAACTCCTAATCCCCAAAAAGCCGGTGACGCACTTGTAACGCCTCTGGTGTTCCAGGTGTCCATGGGCGACACCGATTGCTTACCATCAGGTGATCCGTCTGCTCGTTTACCGGCTTATGCCATAAAAAAAACAATACTTACTTGTAGTTCCATTATGTTCATCAAGGATGTCCTGGGCAGACTTATAGTTTCTAAATAGATGTAGGTCCACAGGTTTCCGATCAGCCAGAAGCGCCAATATCATTAATTTTGGATGTTTTATGTCCGACATTACTGTTTCTGTGCCTGTAATTTCAAGAAAAGGCGTTATTACATAATAAATTGCTGTGGTTGGATAACAATATGGCGATATCGTGCTCATGATGACGATGTTAAAATTTCAACATAGTAAATATATGTAACAAATATCTTATTGAAACCAGACGAATATGTATCTCTCTTTGTTGTTAGTTTATTCTCCGTACCTCAGTTTTCGCAGATTTTCTACTTAAACCCTAAGGTTGACTGGTATGGCATTAAGTTCGCTTTATGTGCCATAAACAAATTATGTACATTAAAGAATAAATAAAAAAATAAAATAAATTATTGAATAGTCTGTGATTAGAACGAGCCATTGCCCATAACTACATTTGCGTTAAAGCATTTCGTAATCCTGTCTGATACGGAGGTGAGTATTACGAATTAGGATGCAGCGGGTATCAACTCAAGATCAGATGTTATCACAACATCCCTTTCGCAATATCTTAAAATTGTACCGAAAAACATTGTTATACTAAAATTGGTCTAACAATGAAAACCTCCAATACATCTTAAGAAAATATATATCAACGAGGAGACTCGACTAGTTTCGAACCACACTAGGGACTCATATTTTCTATTCTAGGGCTACCGTTACGCGAGTAATGCCCAAATACTCAAACGCATTTTAAGACGTGCTTAAGTATAATTCCTTACTTACATAAACTATATATATACTATATATTCTTTGAATAATGACAGAGATGGCACGATACTTAAGTCCAAGTAAACATATATTACAATATATATTACGATACAATAAAGTATTATTAAAAAGTATTATTTTTAGATAAATATAGTATTAACATAATTCTTAAGCATAGATTAACGACCTTGATTATGTAACGCGTTGTGTATTCTGAGTCAGTGTTTCAAGGTCGAAACTAATATTTAATTGACCAAGTTCCGAGCAAGTCACCATGACTGTCAAAGTTATGTTTTGTCACAAATGGAGACGTAATATTATGACTGTGATATAAATATTTATCTTTGGATTCTAGTTAACATCAGATAAAATTGCGAATTTTGGTAAATCTACGTAATATTTCTTTTTTTTCATTTTGGAAGGCATTAAAAGTACTTAGTATCTATTTCTGTTTAGGAAGTTAAAAGTTAAAACCACTTACCGACGCATTCATGATTATTTAAACTTTTTTGTCAATTAAATGTCGTTGTAAGAGCTTTCCACGAAATACAAAACTGTTGATTTACATATTAACAGGCTAAACTTGAAAACCTGCTCCTCCGTTCACGCACTGACAATATAGGGATTTTGCCGAGTCAAATTCGATTCCCGGGTCGGACAAAGTTAAATATTATCAGTAGTAGCAAGGAGTCTGGAATTGTGCCCGGTATATAGCAATAGGCTCACCCCCTTTTACGTGGGACTCATAACATAAATAGTGAAAATTAGGTGTTACATTGTAGGTACAGTGGTGTAATGTGCACCTCTGCTTACCCTTAGTTCTAATAGACTTGATTCTACTAGGTCATAAAGAAAATAACATCAGATAGAAGATTCACTCACCTAAACAATCCTTTAGAATAGTCTCCAAAGCCTCCGAAGGATATGGCCTCATGCCGATGAAAGCGCACTCTTTCAATCTAAAATAGACTCTCTGGCATTCTCTTAAAGACTTTCCACTGGCCAAGCCCAAAGCCAGTATGCCACCAGTACTGGTACCAGCCACCCAGTCGAAGCACTCCACGATAGGTCTGCCAACAGCTTCTTCAAGACTAAGGAGTACCTGGACTAGGACTAGGCCTCGAATACCACCTCCATCTAGGCAGAGTAATCTGAAATGGTTATTTATTTATAGTAGTTTATTTTCACAAAACGGCACGGATTGACTTCGAGGACATGAAGGCGTTGAAGCGCCAATTTTGATGCAGACACCATGGCTTTTCTGCGCAAAATCTTGTTGTAATGGGTATTGTGTATTTTAAGACAACAAAATTTATATAAACATTCATATATATGCTTCTAAGTATAGCTAAAGATAATGTTTTGGGTTTGATATCCATGTATTTTCGATCTGACAACTCCGGTTTTTAAAGGATGGGTGCTAATAAGCAGCTGCGTTACCTGATGGTTACCGATCAGTATCGCCCATGGATACCCAAACCAACTAAAGGAGCCACAATTGCTTTGCTGGCTTATTTCATTTCATAATATGAAACATAATTATGTAACGAATTACCTATCTCTATTATATCCTAAGTAGACCCCAAACGGTCTAAATGGAAGGTAATATCTTATTATAAAGAAGAAGATAAACATCTTCTTTATTGATATTTAGTAGAATAGAAAGTAAAGTCTTACCGTCCCTGTTTTTGGCTAGTATCATAACAAGCAGCTCTTTCCATTGCTGCTACGGACAACATTTGGCTTACGAGGTCTCGTGTAGAACTCCTGGCTACGGGAGGAGGTGGAACACCGTTGTAATCACCACGAGCCGAACAACTTGATCTACAGCCTGATATTTCTGGGGCGCATCTGAAAAAGATGAATTAGAAATACTATTACAGAGAAATATGTTTGAAAACCAATAGTAAGAAAAGATGCATTACATTATATTATATGACTTATGATGAAGATACAGATCATTTTAAAAAGAGACGATTAAAAAAATTGCAGCCTAACATATCTCGTATGGAACCAGATAGAAATAGTAGTTACCTTTTAGCGCCAACCGCATGTAAAACATACAATATTTTATCATAATTGCTGTTCGACAATTCAGTAGGCAACGTATGTCTTGGTGTGTTCCCCATATTGTTCTTCGCTTCCAAATTGGCTCCGAACACGATCAAAGCTTGGACTATTGCTATATTCGGTTGCTTAACTGCTAGATGCAATGGAGTGTTTCCTTCATTATCTCCAATGGAATGTTCAGCTCCTCTAGATAATAGGGCCATGGCACATTCTAAACGGCCTCGTAAAACCATAATGTGAAGTGCCGTCCTCCCATCGAAGTTGAGAGCATTTATATCACAGTTTTTGTCGACCAGAGCTACGACTACTTCGCGGGAGATTGCCCAGTGGAGCGGTGTACCTCCATGTTTCATGTCTTGCTGATACAATTTGGGCTGGTTGTCTTGAAGGAGATCGCCGACTATACCTGTAATTTTGGTAGACATTAATATATAGTGTGTGGTATGGGGCTTTCGATACAGATTACATACTTGGCGTTTGTAATAAATTGTTACGGCTGCCTGTAATAGAATCGTGTTTAATGTTTTGTCAAAGCAGCAAACATGAGAAAAATATTTTAAAAGCACTAAAAAACCGTTAATTTTCAGCATCGGCAGTAAAACAAAAACTACTAACATGCAAATAATCTAAATTATTTTCCATACTAGGCGACAGAGTTTACAATATTTTGACTTTAAAGAAGAAGGCGCTCGGAACTCCTCTTTGGAAACTAAATAACTAATACCATGATCTATGTACCTGAAAGTAAGTTCGCGGATTTCCTTACAGCCGTCATGTTGCCTTCGAAATGAACTAGAAATAATCAAGCACATATAAAGCATAGCATCTAAGCGTACACAGAAGTTCAAGCTCTGAATATGTTAAATAGTAACCGTTGAACTACTGTATCAACTTACACTGTGGTAATAGCGTGAAGAAACATATAAGAAAACGTGCACAATTAATAGGCTAAGTAAAATATCTAAACAAACATTAATAGCTTGGAAACAAAACAACATACAAATACAATAAGAGAGTAGGTATTATTTACAAATGCGAGCAGAAAATAGTAAGAAACAGACCATTCACCATACAAAGAAGCATATTAGATATTAGAACACATAGTAATAAATGTCTAAAGATATTAAAATCTCAAAGCTTTGTACTAGAGCGAAGTACAATCGACAAACCTGGTAGAAGACTAGTAGACCTCTTGGCTGCGGTTAGATTAACGTCTGCGCCCGCTAACATGAGGGCGCGCACGCAATCTGGTGCATCCGCTAAACATGCTGTGTGTAGCGGCGTGTACCCTTGCTTATTGTACACGTTTAGCGATGATGGACTCTTGCTAGCTAAGGCCTATAACAAAAGAAATACTTTTTGATATTATAGAATGAAGTTGTAAGGAGTTTTTTAAGGGGGAAAATCCTCAAATGACTTCTCCCGCTTGGGTGAGGCGGGAGGGAGCGTCAGACTCTTACTGACTAAAAAGCACTCCGTTCCTACTTCTGCCCTTCGAGCCATAGCCCCGGCAACACGTTAAGTCCTACTCGGCTCCGTATCGGCAAGTTGTATGGATACGATCCAAAATATCTAGAACCATAGGACCATAGGCATAACGGCTCCGAGATCAGAGAGATTTTTAACTTGTTTCAATAGAATTTATACGACTATGTATTGTTACATAAATGTTTATATTATCTGTGGCAAGCTGGCCACTTTCAAAAGTAGAAACCTATTTATGTTCTTCTTTTGTTTATGAAATATATGCAGTGTGCTTCTGAATATTATAGCATTCACACGTAAAATATTGCATAACAGTTATGCTTTCATATCAAAAGATTGAAAGTGGTATTAATGCATACTTTAGGTACTATACGAAAACTACTGGGTACAACGACTCGTCAAAAGTTTCAATTTAAACGTTGCTTGATATTAATATCTTTATGTTAACAAAAAACATTAACATGGATTAATGTTTTTTGTTAACATCATGAAACATGTTTCATGATCTGAAACAAGACAAATTGCGCGACAGACGCAATACCTTGCATAGCGGGACGTCTGTTAGCGACACGCCGGTTACCAAGGGTTGATAGTTATAAAGGGACCTAAATATAAATAACTCAGGTATTTAGCGCAGGCGCGAATCCAGACTCAGGCCCGAGGGTTGAAACCTAAGGGGAGGCGTTAGTCGCTCGGTGGCCGACCTCGAAATCGGTTTACGCGCGCCATATTTTTACACGTAATTATTTTTGTTATTGTCTATTGTTGTGTGTTTGCGATTTGTTTATTTTGATAATTGGATAAAATAACATAATTAGAGAATCGTTCTTATACTTAAGTGATTATATTGACAGACTTACTGATTAATATAAGAAAAGTTATATACATTGCATTGCAATACAATTACAATTTGTAATTCACAATTTTGCGATGTCCGCGTTGTGTTCGCAAATGAGATAGTTTAATTAATTAATTAGTCGTAAGAAAAGGAAGGACAGTGTATCCTAATATTGATTTATTACATTCGGGCCTATAGCGAATGCAGGTTGTGATTGATTCACCCTCTCGTTCCGATAAGGACGGAGATATTAACTTCGTATGTTAAAGGGAGATAAATAGTGTTACGGAGTGCATCCGTCATCGATCGTATCTCGTTTTATTTTATTTATAGGGCGAGTTAGGGCTTACGTTGGGGACCTATAGAAGGTGTTATTGAATAAACACAGGACAATGGAAATATGAAAACTAAAGCAGTTTCCTTTCATTGTTGCGACTCGGGGGTCTGTTTCTATGATACCGCTTAGGATATTTTTCATAAATAAATAAATTCTATAAAAGTACTAATTCTAGTAAAGCAGCAGCAAAGTTTTGCGTTAATTTTATTAAATCCTAAAGTATTATTAGACTCCTTAGTGCTAAATTACTTTGCAGGTAGTTCATTCGTCTTCTGACAATGGAGCCGAAAATATGTAGTGTACTTGATTGTGGCAGTAGAAGTGATCAAGGTGACCCGGAAATTTATTTTTATGGGTAAGTATTTTTGTTATTCGTGTGCGAAATGTGTAAGTGTCGTGAGCGGTGTGATGAGCGGTCCTACTCCTACAAGTGGTTATTATTTAATGGGACCAGCCCGCCACAACCTCCTATAACCGCTGCAACTCCTGTAAGCCAGGATCTGCAGTAGAAGAACACTGAAGTTACAACACTGAACTGTCTACAAGTGGTTGTTGTTGTCGAATCTTAGTTGCAAATCATATTACAGTCCAGCTAGGCTAGGCCTTTAGCCAAACGCCACTTTAGCGCTTGTCTACAGAGAGAGTAGAAATCAAAATGTATGGGGATGATACTGACAAGTGTCAAAATTCACGTCAATTCCATATAATTTGGTTTTCTATTCTACATGTAGACAAGCGTTAAGTGGCATTTGGCTACAGCTGCTAATCTGTAACTATTCGAAATATCGAAGTGAACACCTTCACGGTCCGCCATGTCATTGGTTGTGAGAATAATGGCGACCAATGACGGGCGCGAATGCGATCGAGCTCACTTTTAAAGTTCGAATTGACAGTTACAAAATAGCTAGTTCAAATCTCAACATTGAGCTTGATCTACTTAACAGTTGTAATAAAAATAACGAGTTTAATATTATTGCAAATAAAATAAAAGCATTTAAAGATCGTAGTAGGTGGTGACGTCGTGTTCGCCTATCCCTATAGAACATAGACGGAGTATGTCGTACTGAGGTTCTTTTTATATTTGATGGGCCGACGTTTGTCCACTATCTCCCCTGGTGGTAAGCGATGATGCGGTCTACGATCTACGATGGAGCACGTCGTCCCATAAGCAACCTATTCACTCAGGCCTTGAAGATATCCAGATTATACCTTTCAAGAAATACAGACTCTACAGTTCAGTTGTAAGTAAGGGTTTAATGGAAGGAGCAAATATTGTTTGAGTGTTTTTATTACAGTTTGTACGAGTCATTGTTACTTGTTTCTCATGTAATGATGTAACTAGTACAATTGACATGAAGGTATGAATGAAATGCGGCGAAGCATATTGAGATTAAACCAAAGAATGCGTGATTTACCTATCACAGATTTATTTTATCGTCTTTATTGTATTCTGGTGTTATTGATGAGGTTTTTAAAGAGCTGCTAAGAAAGAGTTTCATAATATTAAACCCTAAATACAAGTAAACAACGTACCAACAAAATGGCATCATGTGTACTAAAATTCAGTCGATTGTTATAAACAACATAACATAACATCACGCATTTTATCTCCGGAGAGGTAGGCGTGTACATTACGGCACTTAATGCCACTGTACAATGTAACACCCACTTTTCACTATTTATATTAAGAGTCCCATGTAATAGGAGGTGAGACTACAGTCATTGCGACCACTCGGCCAACGAGGCAGTCATAAATAAAAATAAGAATTACTTAATCTGTCCAAAATTTGCCTTACAGATTCCCAAGGAAGCCGAAATATCGCAAAGTCTGGATAGCTGCAACTGGTCGGGGGCAGTGGTCTGCAAAGAGAAGCTCTAGGATTTGCAGCAAGCACTTCCTACCTGCTTGCTTTGCTGAGGGAGAGGGGAAATCTCTGCTGGAGGACGCTGTTCCTACTGAGGTAAGAGTATATCTACTTAGAAACTAGTATTATGTGTCTCCTTTATATGATAGGAGTCAAACGAGCAGACGGACCTGATGGTACATGATCAGTGCCGCCCATGTGCATGTTTAAGCGATTTTCATAGATAAATAAACAGCGGATAGCGATATTTAACGAAAGCTGTATGACGATAGGTTCCTACGTCCTTCTCTATTTTCAACATTCCTCATGTTGAATTAATTAAAAAATAACAAATATTTCCAACTTTTTTGTACACTTTTAGGAAAGTATGTTTTTCTTGTTTGCAGTTCATCAAGACTGCGGCTCCTGAGAACCCTCAGCGGTCGTTGACACCTCTGGATACAGTACTTTCCGAACAATATTTGGAGCCCGACGAAATAGATGAACTGGCCGATTGGTCGGAATCGGATGTAATCAATGTAATGCCCATTTTCCACCAGTTGCATTAAGAGGCCTATAAAATTGCCACTCGACAGTTTCCAACACCAAGCTATTATTTAGTTTCAAAAATCGAAAAATTAAATAATACCTACATGGTCCGACCCATAAATTCTACCACAGACCGAAAGCTGCATGCAACATAGTACTTTTAATACCTTTTAAAAATATTTTCTTAATTTTAGTTCCTTATCAACGTTTCTGGTGGTGACAGACATTTTTGTAATTTTTTTACGAAAATATGTTTTTCTTATTTGCAGTTCATCAAGAGTGTGGACTTTGATAAACCTCTGCGGACGTCGACACCTCTGGATATAGAACTTTGCGATCAATATTTGGAGCCGGACGAAATAGATGAATCGGCCGAATGGCCCGAACCAGGAGTAGGTATATAACATAACATTACCCCTTTTAATCCTAAAAAATAATCAATATCCAATGTAACGCCCAGTTTTCAGCAGTCGTGTTGACACGATGGCATGCTAATTGTCTTTATTGAAGTTATAAGATCATGCACAAAACATTCACACGCAAATTCATCAATAATTGGAACTTGCAATACTGTCCTATCAAACCCTCACGACACAATCACTTTGAAAACTCTCTTGTCTCCTCATTATTAAAATTTTAAAGCAATACAAATGTTTCAAGATCTAATCAAAAATTGTTTTCTTTAGCTGAACTATTCACTGAAAATGGGCTATCCATCTGAAGACCAAGCCGGGCCTAGTATGATAGTATTAAGAAGCACAGCAGTAGCAGTACCTGTTCCAGGAATAAGTGCTACAGTAACTGAAGCAGAATTCCCAAAGGAGCCTGGCAATGCATCTGTAGTAACACCTCCACAGTCATCTACCAATGAGGTAACAAACCCTCCGGAAGAATTAACAACGACACTTTCAATTCGATCCACAACCAAACCCGCAACGCCCGAAAGACGTGCACCAAAACCTACAAAATCTGATAAGGGTTCTAAAGACGGATCTAAATCTAGCATTCTTCCACCATGGGTAAGAATCCCCCCTGAATGTCCTGCCCGTAATCCTAAAGAAGCAGGTTCAACATTCAGAAAGAAGCTGTTCGCTTTCCTTCGCTGTCCACACAACCCTTTGGATATAGAGTCTGATTTACGAACATTAATTTCGTTGGGGGTACATATTTTTATTCTACGCAGAGGCAACTTCAGATCTGTGGTCAATTCGCTTTTTCGCTACCTTATGAAGGCATAAGCAAGCAACTGTCAAATAACGAAGGAGTTACCAATGTCAGGGAAAGATAGGTAGCAAGATCAAGCAATTGACGGGTCTTGTTAATTTCGGGTGACACCTATTAGTCAAGCGTAATGCCAAATAATAATGATACGAGTATGTTTACCCCGAACCCCTTTATAATAATTACTGTAAAATTGTAATCACTTTTTGTAGTAGTATTTAACAAAATATTTAGACGAATGCGAATTTTTCGCATCATTTTGATATGGATGTCTAAATCAGTATTCAGTAGCACTTGATATGTACTTATTATTTATGAGTAAGTGCCAAAACTCTTTAGATAAGGGAAAACATTCGCACATCATTAACTACCGACTACAAATCTGCTGATGCTCACATTAAGCAGTAAACGATATTTCGTTTTTACGTTAAAATATAGTGATTTGTCGCTTTTGTAGAAGTAGATTAAGCATTTGTGAAACTGATAAAAATTGACTGAACAGAAAGGCACTAATATTGTTGAGAAATAATATTGTAACGAATTGAGAACCTCCTCCTTTTTAAGTCGGTTAGAAGCGCACATTCTGCATATTCTTTACATTAGACAATAAGGAATCTTTACTTATTTATGTGTGTGTGTAGTATTATGAAGATTTCGTGTGAGTATTCGCTATTGTTGAAATTAGAAATAGTGCTAAAATATTTTCACCTTTACATAACTGATAAAAAGGTGTACGCAATTACGGACCACTTTTGAATGAGAAAATTAAGTTTATTTTGTCTTTTTAGCTTATAATTCATTAATAGCGAATGCTTACGGAAAACCGTATCTTTATCGTAATTATGTACTCGTCTGTCTATACTTAATCTATACTTATAATAAATCTGTAGAGAGGTCAATTCTGTACATAAAATATATTTAAAAAATAACTATCAAGGGGTGATTAGGGATCGCTACTGATGCCAAAAATGCAATCAGTAAAATTTTTGTCTGTCTGTCTGTCTGTCTGTATGTTCGTTATGGAAACAAAAACTACTCGATGGATTTTAACGAAATTTGGCACAATTATTTTTCATACTCTTGGGCAGGTTATAGCATACTTTTCATTACGCTACGATCAATAGGAGCAGAGCAGTATAGGGAAATATTGGGAAAACGGGAGAAGTTACTCCATTTTTTAAACTTCCGTCGCGTGTGCAGGCTTATAGGTTAAAGCTGCATAGAAATCATGTATGACGGAAACGGCACATGTTTATCTTTTATGGTTGACTCACAATAACACGTGAAACTTCCGATAGCTTAGCAATTCGGTCATTTCTGATTGTATTTGTCTAACGTTTACAATAGTCATTCATAGACTTTACGCTGTATCTGAAAGGCCAATGGTTGAAATTAGCTTGACTCGATATTATAAATGAAAATATGTGAGTTTATGTGTATGTTTATTACTCAGTCATATTAAAACGACTGAAGGGACCGGAATGAAATTCGGAACAGAGGTAGATTATGGTCTGAAGTGATACATAGGCATTTTCCCCTGGGATCGCGGGCGAAGCCGCTGGCAGAAGCTAGTACATAATATTATTAATGAAACATATACCTACTCAATATAGGGGACTTGTATAACACTATTGGATATAACTGTTGAACGTTTCATAAACATTGATGTATCGTAGAATTAACCTACATTTAATAATCTCATTGTAATCTGAATCTGATTTATTAATTTTAATAAAGTTCACAACCATACAGACTTTTTTTTTGTAACGCCTACAAAAAGTGTCGAAAAATAAAACTTAAGAAGAGTTGGTATATAAGATGACCCGAGTTTGTGTTGAAGATCTGGGATTTTTCATTTGTAGATTTTTCGAGATTTCCGTAATGGCATGAAGTGTAGTACCTACCTACAGTAGAACTTGAATGTGCCGGCTGAATAATGCTAGCACTAGTAGGTAGTTCTGCCTTTTTGACATATAACGTCAATTTTTGTCCCCGAAGGAGTAGGCAGAGTTGCACATTACGGCACTTAATGCCACTGTACAATGTAACACCCACTTTTCACTATTTATGTTATAAGTCCCATGTTATAGGGGTGAGCTTATTGCCATATACTGGACACATTTCCAGACTTAGTGATACTACTGAGATTTTTTTTAAACCCAATAATACTTTGCTCGACCCGGGAATCGAACCCGAGAGTCGAACTTGCGACCAGTCGGCCAATGAGGCAGTCTTGACCTTTTTTTGATGGTGGAAAAACATCCAATAACTTCTCTCGCGTTGGGTGAGGCGAGAGGGATTGTCAGACTATTACCAATGTATATAAAAAAAAATGAATTTCCGTTCGTTAGTCTCGCTAAAACTCGAGAACGGCTGAACCGATTTGGCTGATTTTGGTCTTGAAATGTTCGTGAAAGTCCAGGGAAGGTTTAAAGATGAAAAAAAATTATAGGCGTTACAAAGTTTGCCGGGTCAGCTAGTTACTGACTAAAAACCGTTCCTACTTCTGCTCTTCGAGCCGGAGACAATAGTTATCATTGCTTATCATCAGGCGAGATAGTGGTCAAATCTCGGCCCATCAATTAAAAAAAACTGTTTAGTCCCCTACCACTTTCATCTGTGCACCTTAAGGTCGTCAGACAAGGAATTAAGTTCACCTGTAGTGTACATGTATTTTGGACTAAGTCTAAATAAATAAATATTCGTCAGTAATAGTACAAAAAGTCAGTGCCCAGTGATATCGTATCAAAATGAATCTTGAAATATAACTGGTGGAAAGTTAGTGGCGTGATATAGGCACACTCCCGGAACCAATCCTTATCAAAAAACGTACACAAAGTCCAAAAATCACCAGTAAAATAGATAATGAGAGTTCGTCGTATTTTTACAACTTTCATAACAGATGACCCATTTGAATCAAGTCATATCAATTTATTTATCTATGTAATATAAATATACATGTTGTGTATATATTGGTTTATTTAGATTATCTATATTTTAGACCTATGTTATCTAAAGCGAGCAGTGTGTGTATTACGTGATGTGAGCGTGAGTCAGGGCCTAAATGGAGTGATGGAATCAATCGAGTCTGGACTATAATGCTCTTAGGTCGTTATTTAGGTAGACAATATAGCTATCTACCTAACTGTGTATCGATTCTATGTACTAGGTAATCGTATGCCCTGACATAAATTATAGTCAGGATCATTACTATACATTTTTTTAAACCCTTGTCCCCACACTAGGATTTTCTCTTGTCGTGGGTGCGTTTACAAACATACAAGGTTACATACACATGACATCCAGCCCCAAAACAACAATTTGTGGACTACACAAAGAGTTGCTTCGTACAGGAATCGAATCCGCTACAAGGTGCGCGGCAGGCGGTTGCCCAGCCGCTGCGCCAATCGTGCAGTTTATTGTAAATTGTTTCGAAGTAGGTCATTTATTCATGAAAATAAAGAGTTAACATATTTTTGAGAAAATGTTACACTCTATTCTCATTTTATCTCCTGAGCCGATCGTGTGCCTGTTAATTTCCTGCCTCCCTCCTTAATGACCCCTCTGAACCAACGGAGGGTGTTTAGCGATGCGGTCATTTAGTTCGTAACTAAGTGTACCTATTTCTGGCCCTAACTGGGGCCTTAATTTTTCAATCAGCTAAAGTAATCAGTAGCCGCAGCACGCTGAACCATAAGTGGTTAATAACTGCAATAATCGTCGTTAATTCAAAATCTTCTGGTTAATATCGATTTTTGACATTAAGTAGTTGTATTCTATGGCCCCGTCCAAAAACCAGGGTGCTTAATCTCGAATCCAATTCCGATCGATCAACATTGACATTGTGAAATTTTTCATACTCTTGAGTTGCAACACTAGCGCCCATTGCATACGTATTGCATGGATATTTCATGAACTAAATGGTATTGAGTTTGGCTTTATATTCCGTACTCTGAATGCTATTTTAACAACTACGATAGGGGTGGTATAGTTTTGACATTGAATAATTATTAAGATTTTATTGTATTGAAATTGCATCGACTTTGTGATTGGTTTCAAGAGTAAGCAACCAGATCGATCCGGAGATAATCTGTTATTCATTTCGACTGTCAGACGATGAATTCCGATTCAGAAGTAATACTCCGGTATTACTTACTTGGTTCAATAACTCATTGTCAGTTGGTAAAAACAATAAGAAAGTATAATTAATATTTTCGCAATGCATTACACACATTGCTTTTCAATGATATTTTATGTTATTCTTCTCATTATGTTCAACTTTTGTTTCAAGTTTGTTTCAAGTACAAAAGTACTTGATGTCATAGTGAGAGCAATGAATTAAAGGGAAAATTAATAAAAGTAATTTGAAAACGATACGTAAAAAGACTCTTTATTATAGAAGATTATCCAAAAGAACTAAACACCCTTTTGATGTTTTTATTATGACTTTCGTGAGACATGCGAAATTCATTAAGTATTATGTTTTTCGGCTTACTCAGTAGCAGCGCGACAGTCGCCGCGTCGCAGATCGCAGAATGCTGCTCATGAATATGAGCCTCTAGCATGGCTTGAAACTAGTCGAGTTCCTCGTCAAATAATTACGTAAGCCGAAAACCATAATAATTAACTTTATTCGTGTATTTGGTAATCAAAAAATCGGAAAGAAAGTGAAAGCATTCAAATGAATTATGAAATAAGTCCTTGAAGGTTTTATTAACACGTATAAAAATACACTTTGGACGTAATACTCCACTTTAGCATGTGAATTACCTATGTTTAGTTTATTTTTAATGCATCTGAAATACTCGATTCCGATAGCAAAGCCAAAAGCAACATTCTGACAGACAGCTAGACAATAAACAACTTTTGAAAAGATCACAAAACACACATACCTCACAAGGCAACTTAAACCATACTCCATTGAAATAAAGATTCAAATGTATTGGACGTTTATTTTAAAATATTTAGATTAGAAATGTAATTATAGAAAAATCAATAACTCACGTTAATAATTTCTTTGTTGCTAGCAGCTGCGTAGTGGAACACCGTGTTGCCTTCAAGGTCGATGACATCTAGGGAACAATGCAGCGAGACTAAACTCTGAACCATGCGCACATTGCATGATTTTACAGCCACCTGAAACAAACGACATTTTTTAATCCTACTACATTTTTGTGTGGAATAGGGGCAAACTATTCATCCATCGTTGGCCGCATCATTGCTTACTAGGCGAGATAGCGGTCAAACGCCTACCCATTACAAACAATCTTATATCATATATACTCCGTCTGTTTAGGTAGTTAACTATTTGTAAACAAACCATAAAAATAGTTCTTTATAGTTGACATTTCCATGATTCAAAATACTTCATAAGAAAATAAAATTGTTTCCGTTTTTACGACAGTTTTCTCTATTAAATGTTATGTTTCTGTTCCTTTTCACTTATTTCTTAGTAAATATTATATATATCTGCATGAGGATATTAATTTAATAACATTTATTAAATAATATAATATTTCATTACAATAGACACCATAAAGAGCCTAAAATCCCAGGTATCCAAAACTTTTTTTTAAGAACGAAGCAAAATAATGTTGTCAAATTAAAGAGTACAACTAAGATGTAGCGCGACAATGAAAGTAGCGTGTATTACGTTTAGTCGGTTAATCAGGCGCCATTGACAGCTCTCTCGTCGTTTGCGCTCGCGTTCCTATTTTGTTGAATTTATCTTGTTTCTTTGTTTTGTTTTCGTTATTAAGTTATTCAAGTTTAGGTTATTCATCGTTTGTAATTAATGTGTTCAAATATTTTGAAGAAACTTGGCCCAAAGACACATATCCGTACAAGAAAGAAATCCGTACATCAGATTCACAATAGTTCCTATTTAAACATGATAATGAAATAGACCCATAGGCAAGGCTCTTGTACGATTTAGGCATTTGTAGTTGTATATGTGTGTATGACAAATGAACGAGTTTAAAGTGAATTTGGTTAAAATTAAAACACGAGAAATATTTGAAGTAATAGTAGGTTAAGTATCTCTGTGTCACGTGGTTTTGTTTGTTTACCTTTAGTTAATTACCTAAACAGATGGACTATAGGTACTATTACTAGCGACCCGCCCCGGTTTCGCACGGGTGGAATGCTTATGTGACTGCCTCATTGGCCGAATGGTCGCAAGTGCAACTGCCGGGCAAGGGGTCTCGGGTTCGATTCCTGGGTCGGGCAAAGTATTACTGGGTTTGTAAAAACCTCAGTAATAGCACGGAGTCTGGAAATGTGCCCGGTATATGGCAATAGGCTCACCCCCTATTACATGGGACTCATAACATAAATAGTGAAAAGTGGGTGTTACATTGTACAATGGCATTAAGTGCTGTAATGTGCGCCTCTGCCTACCCCTTCGGGGATAAAAGGCGTGATGTTATGTATGTATGAAATGCTTATGTAATTTACGACATCACAATAGAAATCTCTAAATTTATCAGTATTTCTCTACTATATTATGTTTCTCTACTATGTATTATACGTATAAACCTTCCTTAAGAATTACTCTATCTATGAGAAAAAACCTCATCAAAATCCATTGCCCAGTTTTAAAGATCTAAGCATACATAGGGACAGACAGACGGCGGATAGCGACTTTGTTTTATACTAATAGTGATAGTGAAGTGATGATAGTGATTTACAACTGAAGAGGTTTTCTGTTTGTTTGATCGCGCTAATTTCCAGAAGTAGGTACTGTTTCGAATTAAATAATTACTTTTGTTTTTTATGGGATAAGCCGATAAACGAGACGAATCACCTGATGGCAAGCAATAGGCGTCGCCCGTGGACACCTGAAACACCAGAGGCGTTACAAGTGCATTTGAGGATTGTGAAGGATTCGGGGATTGAGGAGACTAGGGCCCTCCCTAGTCTGCTAAGGGTAATTGGGCCTCCGGTAACCTCACTCACACGACGAAACACAACGCAAGAGTTGTTTCACATCGGTTTTCTGCAATGACGTGGTATCGCTCCGGTCGAGCCGGCCCATTCGTGCTGAAACATGGCTTTCCTAAACTTACACACACTCTTGTCTTGGATAATCCATTTATCGAGGAAGGCTATAGGTTATAAAACATCACACTACGATCAATGGGTGCCGGGCAGAGCGGGTGGAACCACCTGATGGCAAGTAATCATGCATTCAAATCAAATCAAATCATTTATTTCGGTTGCAAACATGGGTTATAAAATATACAAAGGGTGTTTAATATTTATAGTATGGTTCTCCACATTTTGCCATTATGGCATGCAAGTATTTCCTAATCAATTTATCTACAAGTTTAACTTATACAACCTCATACAATATACATTACCAATAAATTAAGAATTGAACTAATTATAATTATTGAATGTCAAGAAAGATGAAATTAAAGGTATCATATTATTAATAAGTCAGCAAGTCATCATTAAGAAAGTCGTCAATATTATAATAGCATTTGTCAAGCAAAAGTTCTTTTAGCGTCTTTTTAAATTTCAATATAGTCATACTTTTCATAACATCTGGTACCTTATTGTAAATGCGAGGTGCAATACCAAAAAAACTTTTCTTTACCAATGCAGTTTTACATGTCACTGGATATAGTTTATTTACAAATTTTGTACGTATTGGATTCCTCTTGACCTCCGAAACTTTTAGGAATAGATGTGGGTTACACCTAACAAACAATTCACGCCACCCATCGAGATCTACAATAGCAGAGCATTTAAAAATGTGTTGTTTACAGTTTCAGTAAACGTGCACATAACACCTCTTACATAAAATATGCACGAGTAAACATCTGCTGTATTTTGTCAGAATTATCTACGGTACTTGTAGAAAAACAGTATTACAGACATCATTTGCATAAATTATTTTTGCAGTAGGTACATTCTTTGTTCTATCTTATTCACAAGCCCATTGAGACCTTTGGCAAGTTCTGGTTTTGAAAAGATTCTTTTATTTAAGTGATTAGAGAAATCAGTAAATAGCCGAGAGTGATCGAGTAATTCAGTGTAAGTATCTAATTTCAGCGACGACTCAACTGACTCAAGTCACGCAAAACATAAATTTAAGAAAGTCTAATTACAATAGATAAGTAGTATTTTGGGACGTCCGTTTTTTCACAAAGGAATGGAATTATAAGTGGGTATTTAATTTACCTACTGTAAAAGTCAATTAATGATTAATTATTATCAGTTTTTTTTTAAGGGGTGAAAATCATCAAATGACTGCTCCCGCCTGGGTGAGGCTGAGGCGGGAGGGAGTGTCAGACTCTTACTGACTACAAACCACCCCGTTCCTTCTCCTGCACGTCGAGCCGGAGCCCCGGTTACTCGTTAGGTTCTCCGCGACAATTATTGTCAGTTCAATACCTTTATTGAAGACATTTACTGAGATCAACGGTCGCGGCGTTGCCACTAGGCTGCGCGACATCGCCGGTCGCGACCGCGTGGAGTGTGTTGCTCATAAGGAAGAGTCCCTCTGTGACTTGAAACTAATAGAGCTTTTCTCAGTATATTTACATGAGTAGGAAACTCGGGTTTTTTTTATTTGATGGGCCGACGGTTATCATATTAAATTTATTTTTCATTTAGTTCAGTATTTCTCACGATAGTGTTATTACTGTTATTATAAAAACACTTACTGAAATGATATCACTAAAAGTTTATTACCAGAAAGTATGTATGAAAGAATACATTAACGAGAGAATTAGCTAACAATCCAGCCAGAGCAAAAACGTCTACAAAAGACTAGCTAATATTCTATATAGTATCATCGATTCATCTCTGTTTACACTGAAATCAGAAACGTGACGACTACATTTAGGGCAGTACCTACACAAAACTGCGATACGACGTCGCATCGCAAAAATGTGCGAGCACCCTCTACGCATCGCAAGAACGTGCGGATTGATTTGTGTGAGTGCGCATCGCGCATCAAAATCTTATCTTCCCAAAATCTTCTTTGTTTCTTTTTCCTATATCTCCTAAGAAATAATAAAAGTGTACACTTATTTTTACGATCCATGTCACGATCAAGTTTTCAATTTAAAATCGTTTAGTACGGTTGACGGACGTCGTCGCCTTGTCGCACAAAATCGCATCGCAGCAATTCGCATCGTAATTTTTTGCGTTCGAATTCGCATCGCATCGCAGTTTTGTGTACGAGCCCTTATACTGTGTATCCGTCGATATTCATACTCTGGATTTATATATGTCACTAACCTAGTTACACTTGGCGATGAATCAAGTTGTGATATGTGACGTCACTAACAAACCCAACAACTGAAAAAAATATTCAGGGAATTTCCCTTTTCAAATAACAGGCGGGTCACTTAAACTTATTTTTAGATAGGAATTACAAGCAGTCCTTATGATTTTAAATCCCCAGGGGTGAAGTTTAGTAACTTACTTTCGTTTCATTTGTAAACAGCAATCTCAAAAAGACCTACGATGGCGACCTTTCGCGTCCGGGCCTATTGCAGGTCATTATACGGAGCGTGGGGGACTGGGATGCCTCCTTTTGCGAAGCAGTTATGCTAACTAAGGAGGAAGCGGGACGCGTGAGGCAGCGAAGCGCTGCCTCCTCGCAACCCAGCCAGTCGCGAAGGACACACACATCTCCGGCCACCGTAAGCACGGGCCTGCTGACGGCGAGCATGGGTGGCTCCCCGTCCGACCAGTAACAGAGCCAAGCGTACGGCGCGTCGCGTTCAGCGCGCGCCTCAAAGAGCCATCAGACCACCACAGATGGGGCCCAACAGGGACGATGCCGATTCGGAGTCGCGGAGAACCTAACGGGTTACCGGGGCTCCGGCTCGACGTGCAGGAGAAGGAACGGGGTGGTTTTTAGTCATTCAGATTCAGATTCTGTCAACATTATGAGAACTTGGATATCAAAGAATTAAATTTAGAATAGAAATTTAACAAGAAAATAAATTGAAAACAAATAGAAAATAAAAATTATTATGAACGTAACTAAACTTTAGAAAAAACAATCAATGCAATGTCTGTTTGTCTATGTGTCTAACAAACACCTACCAATAATTATCACAAATGAAATGTACAACAAAACGCAATGCATTGTGTTGTTCTCATTAGTGAAGTAATTATACTAACTCCAGTGAAGCTATCTTCATAGTTTAAATAGTTATCTTTGAATCACTGCTATACTTGACCTTTAGACATGAAGGAAATAATTACTAAGAAGTTCATAAATAAAGCATATGTTCACGGAATACATAGTGTTTGTATATTACTAGTAGGTACATGTACTCTGAGTCACATAAAGTTGTCACAATTTTTTTTTTACGAAAAATGTATTCAACCTTTTTAATGGTTTGGTTATGGAAACCTCCTTGGTTTAGTCTATGAAATTTTGTCATAGTCCCAGGAACCTTTAACAATAACTTGCAATGATTTTAATTACTCAGTCCTTTGACCTCAATTAGTCATTATTGAAAGACTATAAGGAATTCCCTATTCCATTTTTAAGATTTGAGATGAAAATCAAATGGCATAATATATTAAAAGATGGTTGACTGTTAGAGAATACCACTAGGCATTAAGTCCGCCGCCATTGTATACAATTGCAAGAAATGTAAATAAAAAAATAAATAAATAAAAAAGAAATGATATAAGTACCAAAGAAACAAAATCACTTGTGTTTATTATGTAACACACATTTGTAGTCAGTTACGTTATGTAACTAGCTTATGTTAAAATCATGCATTATAGACATTTTTTAATAACTGCTGCTGCATTCTCTTACAACAATAAGTTAGCTGTGCTATGCCAAAAAACCAGATGATTTGCCGGCACAATACTTTCTATCATCATCCTGTTTACTATTCTAAAACTCTATTACCCATAGATCCCCAAGCGGTCACCGGTGACCGCTCTCCCCTAATATTACATTACATTATATTTATAGACTTTATTTCCAATGTTTAGAGACTACTTTTGTATGACTAAATTTAGGGGATGGATTTCAACAGGTTAAAAAAACATACCATCAAAGGTGAAGCTCCAGTTAAAGGATCAATATCATCAATATGTTTCTGAACTTCAGGGTCGTTGAACTGCTCACTCAGGCCAAAGTGGGCCATCATGTGAGCGATTGTCCATGATTGGTGCTGTGATAATGTGTCGCATAGTTTCTGAAGAATTGCCACTGTGCACTGTAAATGGAAATAATTAATTAGATCACAAAAAAAGGTTTCACTGCCTTTATAAAAGGTTTTGTTATTATGTGATAAATGATAATATTATTATATATAATAGTCTTTAAAATACGATTATTATTACAGTTTCGCTCAGTGAGTGTTTCTCTATTCATTTTATAGTTGATTAATAATTTTCTTCATTTAATTTTAACTAATAATATTACATGGGACTCATAACATAAATAGTGAAAAGTGGGTGGTATATTGTACAGTAGCATTAAGTGCCGTAATGTGCACATCTGCTTACCCCTTCGGGGAAAAAGGCGTGATGTTAACTTATGTAATTTTAACTGAATAAATATGCAAAACTTACCTCTTTAGTGATTTTAATAAATATTGGTATTCTTTCTTTATAAACTATGAATTTCTCCTCAGCCTCCTCTAATGTTTTAGCTCGACACAAACTGTTAAAAAGAAAAAACATAATAGTTTACTTTTTACACATACAGCGATGCTATTCACATTACATTGCCAAAGCTAGGCTTTTCAGGTACTTAGCATTTTTAATATGTAGGTAAATATTTTATCATTTTAGATAAATCCTTTAAAAGAACTAGGTATATTAAAACCAAAATAAGAATTCTGAAATAAAAGTTAATTTTAATATGATCTCTAGACATCGGAAATAAGGTCTATAATGGAGTAAGTGAAAAGCTGTCATCGATGACCGCTTGGGGATTGAACAGGTAATAGGCAATTAGATGTTTTTGTTACTATTGAGGGGTGAAATACACAGGAAACTTTTTCTGTATCTAATTTCCTATTTGAGATTAAGCTTTGACATAATAATTTAAAACCTGCCTTTAAATATTAAATTAATAATTATTCTATTATTATTTTTTAATCATATTATTTTCCTGTACAAGGCATAAGTACAAAACTCAATTGTTATTATCATAATCTTAATTCCAATGCCAATGATAGCTCTAATAATACAGAAAAAAAATTGTAAACTAAACTGATACCTAGTGAAAAAGCTATAAATGACAAATATTATAATCAATGGACTGATTAATAATTGTGTGTAGGTAAGCATCCTTAAAAATTAAAAAGATATTATAAAATAGTGATGTAAGACTCTCCTTACATCACATTCAATTTTTGTTTTCAGTTACAAGTGTAGCAGTTGTTAAAATTAACTGGAATTAGTTGAGGATTCAATTTTATTACTGTTAGTAATCCTTCAGTTATATATTTACCTGCCATATGGATGTCAAATAAAATAGACTATACAATAATTTGACTTTAAATTTTTAATTCTAGTTCTTTATACATTTAGTTTTAGTTTTACTAATATGTTTATCTTCAGTAGTAGTACATATTATTTAAATAATAATCCCATCCATAAGTAGACTTTGCCAAAATTGTAAAAAACAATTGGCAATTATCATTAAAAGAATGAGTCAAACCCATAAATAATGTCTTACCTGTACATCTGATGTAAGCTCTCAGTAAAAGGCTTGTGGAGTACTATTTCGAAGTATTTGTCCTTCGTGTTCTTGCCATCAGAGGGAGATTTAGGCCCATACAATAAGATCGAGTCCTCACGATAATGAATCGGCCTTGAAATGTAGTTATCTGACCGCACCTCTATGACTTTTGTAGGAGCCTCCTCTGTGCCCAAAAGGCCACGAAAAACTAAAAATTCACACATAAATAAGTTTCATTTTTCTAATAATATTTACAAAATGATTACAGGGTCTGATTCAAATGTAATTCAAGGTAAGAAGAAAATGGGAACTTACTTGAATTTAACATGATGTAGGATATTATTTTGACCCTTTCGTTTAAAGCAGTTTTAAATTGGAATTATTAATTTTATTTATTGCACAACACAAAACAAATCTCGCACTAAAATACGACGTTCGACATCTAATCTGTCCTATTGACAAATGACAACTGATTAACTGACATCAGACATGACACCATCATGACACAGGCAGAGAATGACTTTGACAATGTCAATGTTTATTCTACACGTTTTGTTACGATCAGAAAGCTACAAAAATGTATATGAGGCATTAATAAACCTTAGATTACAACACTTTACGTCTTATCCCTTGTCCCCTTGCATAAGGGGACTACGCGGTCACTTTTGCAGCAATTAATTATGTAAGGGTTAGCAAACCATCAACCAATACGTGAATATTATTGTGAGCCTTAGTGATTTCGTTTTGAAACTGATGTAGATTATTTTTTTCGCCCTGAGGACATGGTGAAACACGGTGGGGTCATGCCCTGCGTGGACTGAGTACCGCCGTGCCCTCGGTCGTGCCCTATGATCGGTGACGACGATCTTTCGCGTCTGGCCCTAGTTTGGGCCATGATGCGGAGCGTGGAGGACCAGGATGCCGTCTCCTCCTTTTGCAAAGCAGTCATGGTAGCTAAGGAGGAGGCGGGGGCGTCAGGTAGCGAAGCGCTTCATCCTCACAACCCAGCCGTCGCGAAGGACACTCCGGACGTCGCGTCGAAGATGTCGAGACGATCTCCGGCCACCGTAAGCACGGGCCTGCGGACGGTGAGCACGAGTAGCTCGCCTCCCGACCAGAACCAGACCCGAGCGAGCGGCACGTGGCGTTCCGCGCGCGCCTTAAAGAACCATCAGACCACAATGGATGGGGCCCAAAAGGGCTGATGCCGATATGAAGCAGCGGAGGTTTTGACGGGTTGCTGGGGCTCCGGCTCGAAGTGCATGAGTAGGAACGGGATGGATTTCCGTCTGACACTCCCTCCCGTCCAGGCGGGAGAAGACATTCGATGTTTCATCCCCTTTACAAAAAAAAGATTATTATTGCCTAACATTAAGTACCTATTTATTATTTATTTATTATATTTTGGTTCTTTGTAAAGAACAATAACATTTAAGAACATCCTCAACTCAGCTATAACATAACTTTAACGGATCATTTACGATTCAACCGTTTGAAAATGTAGCTTCGTGGCTCAAAGTCACGCTAGGAGCGTATAGGACGCATGGAACGTCCGCCGCGTTTGCATAACCCCTTCAACCATTGATTATACTTATAAGTCTTAGGTGCTACCTCCGTGTCTCGTTCGTTTTGCGCCTGATCTCTCTCCGATCTTGTCGGTCTACCGTCCCATCGGGTTCTCAGAGTGAGGGAACAGAGAATGCACTTGTGTTGCGCACACACTTGTGCAATATCTCTTATATCTCCTGCGCTATGGGCTAGTTTAGATAAATATGGTCGAAATCGATCGATTTTGACTTTCGGAAAATAGAATTTTAGGTTTGAATATTTCTGCAGTTTTATAATAATTGACGACATCCGTAAGAAGGCTGGCAGTGGTTGGATGAGAAGAGCTGAAGTCCGAGTCGGTGGCGTGCCATTGGAGAGGCCTATGTCCAGCAGTGGACGAATACAGACTGATGATGATGATGATAATGAATTATCAAGAAGTTACTAGCGAAGATTATTATTAAAGTGCACACTCAAATTAGGTTACTAAGAAATTTCGTCTCCTAGTCCTTCTTCTACACGGAAACATGTACGAGCGAAAAATGGGTATTTGATATTTTTCCTCTGGTTATGAGGCTGTAGGCTGAAAAGGTAACATTATAAATGTATGTAGGTAATATATTTCCGAAAATAGAAACAATAAATCAGTTACATTTATTTTTAATTAAGATTAAAAATGGAATGCACATAATACTAAAAAGTTAATAAAATAATATCCTAAAACTAAAACCATCTAATTATAAGGATATAAAGCATATACATTTTTGGTATATTTCCTTTTAAAAGCATAAGATCCATATGACTAGATATATTTATGTGTACAGATTGATTATAAAAACATTTTATTTTACACATTTATCGTTTTTGTTTTTTTTTTTTATTTATTCACACAATAATAATATGTGTTCTATTTATTGATATATCCATGTGACTTATTGTCCAACAACATTCTGCTTTGTTAAATAAAAAGAATAACAACACATAAAAATATTTCAATCAAATACTGAACTAGGAAATTGATTATAATCATAATAGTTATAATAGATGGAATGTAAATAGGTTTGATAGATATACTTTATCACAATAATAAAATAATTATAATCTAAATAACACCAAAATAAATTCAGTAAACATACAAATAACATCAATCTTTGGTGATAAAATTAAGTACTTTTATTTAAATACTCTAGAACTAGCTAAATATTTAAACAAGAATTCCAACACACAAAAAGTTATACAACTTAAATACTACGATTGATAAATTGTCATATTAAATGGGCCGCCATTTTGTCGCATCGCACGGATCGTACGCATGTGCTAAGAAACCCACTCAGGCCACGATTCCCGCAAGGACAACACCCATATATGGCGTAGGCGGGATACGCATAATAGGATAGGAGCCCCTATATTCGATTACTCAGATTTACTTGTCACATAAACAGATCATTTTAACAGATTATGCATAGTAGAGCAGTGTACAATATATAAAATGTACATAAAATACAAATATTGTAAGCTAATGAGCATAGTAATACATTCATTGTACTAATCCAAGTTACATCTAGAACCAAACAGTTTTGTTATTTTAAATACTCCTATACATAAACTTCTCTTTTACTTCAAGTACCTACATCACTTATTTATCACCGTAGATAGGTATAGGTCATTCCTAACTATGACTTTAACAACTGAAACATCTATAGACAGTAAGGTGTCCAAATTATTCATAGACATTTATTTATATCACCATGAAAATTCTTCATTCCTTTATGTGAAAATATGCATTGGAATCAAGCTAATTTGTCAGTGACAGTGTCATGTTTCGATGGTGATGACAACAAGATAAATTCACATCAAAAGGTTTATAATTAACTAAAAATCGCGGGTCACTCTCGAGAATATACTGAGAAAAGCTCTACTAGTTTCCAACCACAGAGGGGTTCTACCTCATGAGCAGCGTGCGCGGTCCCGGCGATGTCGAACAGCCTACTGGCTAGGCGCTTGCATTGAGGTTGTTACTTGCGCTGCAAGCCCTCTGCTGGACACCACGCGCGTTTGTAAACTCCGGCGACGGCGCGTGCGACGATGTTGTAGCGCAAGGTATGCGCACGCTGCTCATAAGAAAGAACCCCTCTGTGGTTCAAAATTAGTAGAGCTTTTCTCAGTATGTTAACATGAGTAACCCGCGTTTTTAAGTAAATTTGGTATGTCTCATGATGGTTATTATAAAAATAAAAGTTTATAATATGATTAATATGCACACAGTTTCACATAGGTTTTTGGTGAGTTACAACTCAGTGCTATTAGTTGCTGTGCCCACACAAGTTAGATAGATAACATCGACAGAAAGAAGACCACTATGATATTTAAAATGAATGTGTTTAACATAATCTAAGCTCTTTGTCTAGAAAAATACCTACATTGCATTAGGCTGCATGGCTCTGGTTCGTGTTAGACCCTGGAAGGTTGTCAGGGTTAGCCAGTGGATCCAGTTCAGCAAAGAGTTTAAACCAAGCTGCTTTATCCTCTTTCTTCGGAACAACGGAACTTGGTGCTGGCTTTGAAGTTTGTACTGATTTCACCGCTTGTGTCTGATTGTTGTTGCTGCTTACTGGGGTCATCAGTCCTTGGAGCAAGCTGGACGAATTCTGAAATGGAATATAATATATCAATTTAATCATCTATGTTAATTAAATAGCAAATAACCATATCAGTTATTTGCTGTTGAGTCATACATTCCTCACAATTGTGATAAGGATAAAGTTCAAATATAATTTTAATTGCATTATGTGAGGCACGCATAAGGTAATTATTTGCATGAACTGAACAATAAACTACTTGAGTATAGCTATAATATAAAATTTAAATTTAAACTTACCTGTAACAATTGCGAGGGCAAAAAGGTTCCAACTCCACCTTGTCCATCACCGCAATCTAACTGTAGGCCAGCTAATTCAGATAGTATCCCAGCATTTCCGCTAGATGACTCTGATTCCAAGTAGCTTGTATCAATCAGGTTTACCGAAGTACTGGGCTTTGCATCTCTCTCATTGGACGGTTGTTTGTCATTTTCGTTGTCTGTTTTAGATTTCTCACTGGTCTCTGGATTGTCATCTTTAAATTCATCCTGAAAGGTTTATTCCATAGCATTAGACAATTAAGTTCTAATAGGTACATGGATTTGACACTATATCTATGATAAATAAAATTTTTAAGTCTTATGTAACTTCTAAATCTAAACTATTATGGTATAGATACTATTTAAATGATTTCTTTACATTTCTTTTTATTTGTGTTTTTACCTGAAAGAATAACATCTGATCTTTGTCCTGTGGTGTCACTTCTTGCTTGCTTTCCCCTTCACCCAGTGTCTGAGACAATTCCTTCAGGATAGAGAATTCATACTGTGGAGTGGCATTCATTGTGTCCGCAGTAGCTGTCAGAGTTTGTGCCACTTTTGTAGCAAAAGTTATGAAGGACCCTTGGTAGTTAGACAGTACATGAGAAAACATGTTACATCTGGCCGCAGCTAAGAGATCAATCTGAAAATATTATAAATATTATTGCTGATATACTGATAGTTGTTATTGCTGATAGTTAGTCAAAATGATAGACTACAGAATTTTCTGAGTTTCATGTAATAATCAGAGAAGAGTGTTAAAAATCATACTTTTTGCAATACATCCAGAGTTAATTTATCAAATAGTTTTTTGCTCTCGCGTACTTGTCGCTGTGCCTTTCGGAAGTTGTCAAGGCCGCGTCCAGTATCGGGATCTAACTGTGCGCTCGTTGATTTCATCCAGCTGAGAGCGGCACGGTATTCAATTCGGGCTTTTTCCATAGCTGACACAGTCGCCCGCATATCACTCACGGCGCGACCTCGAAAAGTTTCTACTTCATGATAAAGCCTCAAGAGCGGTCCCCTCACCGATAAGCGCTGTTGACCAGAATAGGAAATTGCTTTTCCAGCTGATACCATGTGTTTACCGGATGCATCCGCATTTTTTCCTGCGTCTCGCAAAAACTTTCCTAATGAATTTTCTTCTTGAGCCAAAATACACAATCGCTCCTGATATTGGTCCAATACTCGCTGTAATTGTAAGCAGCTGTCTGATATTGATCGAAATAATTCCAGTTTGGCATCAAGCTCGGCGTCGGACGCAACAATACACTCATCTTCTTTGGTTCCTAGTTTTTTTAACACAGTCTTTTTTGTTACCCAGTACTGATGTTGCATCATATTACTGGAAAATGAAAAGAAATTTCACTGCTAGCTATCGATAAATTAAAAATTCTGTAACTGAATTACTGAAAATTCAGTGGAAACCGATTTGTTTGACAGTGTTGACATTTGATAATCTTAGCTTGACTTGACAGCTGACATCGATGTGACCAAAAATCAAAACGCTGTTTCTAAAATTAATTTTGAGATCTTGAGTGGTAGTTTCGTAAAATAATTGTAATTTGATAACAAAAACAACTGATTTGAAGCAATTATATTCTTGTAAAATATAAAAATATCTTCTCGTATAATTATGAACCGTTATAAACATAAAAATATATTGTGACGGCTGTCTTTGACTGAAGTATTTTTTTCATGTTTTGTCTATGACACGAATATTTACAACCGGAATGTGGAATGGCCGCCGCGTTTCGCGTTAGTGCGAATGTATTGTGTTATCAAATCGTCTTGATAATAATATGTACAATTTTATTAGGTGAGAGTGACTTTTTAACACAATAGTGTACAAATAATTATAATGTACTGTGCTACCGATAAAACGATTCCCGGTGTGTCATCGTCACAATCTTCGAAGAACGTCAAAGATGGTAAGTTTGGTTGTCACAAGTGCTTTTTTAATTTGCTAATGTATTTATCGTGTAATAATTAGTTAGGTCTAGTACAGTTGACAATTTAAAGAACTTTCCAGGATACTTTCGTGAAGATGTTCTATCTGCAGGTTAATACCATTGTTTTTTGTTTATATTAAAAGTTTGGGGATACTTTTCAAGTTTAGTAATGTTTCAAATTAATGAATTAGAAACAGAATATATGTAATTATTTGATAAAGTGACTAATAAGAAGTTATTCTGGTTTAGAAAGAGTAAATTGTGTATGTTAGTATTGTAAGTACAGGGTAAGCAAGTCAATCATCTTGTCCTAGTTATTATTATTACTAGTCATTCTTCTTGAAGCACTAGACTTTCAAAATGTAACGCACGCGATCAACGTCCGATTCACATTTCGAATATTGAGGTCATAGTGGATTAAGTGGATGTGTTTTTTTAGGATGTTACGTTATGTTTTTACACAATTTTTTCAAACAGTCTGTTAGCTAAGTTATTATTAGCAGCATATTGTAATTAAACTATCAATTTAAGTGTGTATCTTTACTTACATTAAGATAAAGCATGAATTTTATTAACACTCTGATTTCTTGCTTTCTATCAATACATAATTACCTGTGTTACGAATTAGACCTTTTAACTAGTAGAAAATAAAAATCAATTTATAGTTATATTATTGACATAAACTTTTGGAAGATTACTATTTTTTTTTATCTTTGCCCTACACTAGCATTATGTCCTGTGTCGTGAGTGTGTATACAAGACAAGTGTGGTTACAATTTCACATGCACATCATACCCAGATATCCGAAACAACAATTTGTGGATCACACAAAGAGTACTAATGTAATGAGTTACTGCAAGAAGTCGGCAGTCTATCGACAAACACATCATTTACTAGCTTGTCATGTGAGGAATTATATTGACTAGCTAAATATAGTACTAAGTTACTAATATTTAGGTGTTAATAAAACAAGCAACACAAGCTGTATTTTTGTTAGGTTTACTAATAATTTGTTTAGAAAACATATTATTGTGTATTGTATAGTCATATGATTTGAGGTTGTAGTACTGGATTCTTGTTTATTATATCATTTAAATTATTGTCATTTATGTCTGTGTCGAAAGAGAATCGATACTAATATGTTGATGACATTCTTTCAACTTTGCATCTGTTGACTAAAGCTATCATATTTGATACATTATAGAAAATAGTTACTAAGAAAACATCAAATTATCTGACTCAGACTAACTGAGCCTTACCCGAAAGGGGTAAATAAAACACAACTTTAACTTTTGAATAATAAAAGCTACAATGGTTTTATACTTGTTTGCCATTTACTTCTGTATGTACATAATTATTTAACGTTATTAAATTTAAAAAGTATCTACCTTGTAGGTTTATTAAAACAAGAATACACTTACCTTAAAAGGCGGAATGTTGGATTAAATTGCAGATTAATAAATATAATAGATAGAAGTATATTTTTGAAATAAATGTAGTTAATTAATAAAGGTATGAGGAAAACCACAAGCATGATATGTGTTTAAAAATAGTTACTAAGTACTTGATATTAGAATGCTCTCGATTTATTCATTTATATTTTCAAATATACCTAATATAATTTATGAAACAATTAAAATTGAATTGTTTGATTATAAAAAATGCATTGAAGAATTCCCAATTTATATTTAGATAGTGACTCAAATTAATATGAGGCATAATTTTCACATTGTTTTGTCTTTATAAAATGAGCAGTGAGAAATTCGGTCAATGGCTCTTAGCACCATACAAACATCACACATAAACCAGTACAGTAAACAAATAAGTGTCAGACAATAGACTAACAAAGTCACCTCCATCGTCAAGTGATCGGCAGGTGGAAAAAACAGCTACGTACTCCTTGGTCGCATTAGACGCGTCATTGTTAACAAAACTGTATGAGCGAGGGTAACATTTGGCGGTAACCGGGTCAAGGTGGTCGTTTGATTCGCGTCACGTGTCTATTCCCGACATATCGATCTTAGAGTTCTTAGGCTCGGTATCACGACCGGCTTTTAGTGCCAAATTAGCATAGGCGAGGGTAAAGAACATTTGGGGTTTTACTACTGAGAGTTAAAGTTCTACAAGCTATTTCGAGGTATATTAGGGTCGACCGTTCATTTTATATCAAACAGGTGCGTAGGGATATCAGAATTTTACGGACTGTTTGCCTTTGGCGACACGTGAAGGGACATAACGTCTTGGTGTTTGAAGTTTTTACGATAGAAAATGTAAGAAAATCTAACGACGATGTACGGTCATTGAAGAAAGCGAGAGAGGCTAAAAACTCCCCCATACTGTTTAGAAATAAATAAGCATATGAAATTATCACAGTAACATATAGTAAGTAGTATAGCAAATTAATGAGGTACCGACGTCATTACAACTTTGATTACATAAAGGAAACGCGAACTAACAAAGCGAAGCACGAAAGGTCAGCAGTGCATATCGTGAACTTTCTTTACGTATGCGGCAAAAACTAGCTAACTAATCAATTAAATCCGGTTATTCCCGCTCGTCACCCCAAGCTTTGTCCCCTCCGGTGACAAGTGGGAATTATATTGAAAAAAAATCCCATATGTCACCCCCAGGTGACGAATGGGATTCCACTTAGAAATCATCCCAGTCGTCACCGCTAATAAAAGCTTGCTAAAACCATAGTTTTACATTGCGAATGGAAATTTGTTTTTGAACTAAATAATACAATAAAATTAGACAGCCAAAACTTTTTATTTGCTTTTATTTTCAAAATCAGGTTCTAAACGTTTTACATTCAACACAAAAGTATTAACAACAGTCTTTGCATATTATCACAAATCAACACAATTTACATAATTGACTAGGCTACATTCATTGGTTCAGTTTGAAAGTAATCACCATAGCGTTACAAAATATAAAAAAAATAATATTAAAAAAATCTTAAAATGTATCTATACTAACTTTAAATAATTCTTATTATCACAGATCAACACAATTTACATAATTGACTAGGCTACATTCATTGGTTTAAAAATTAAAAAAATAAGATTTTTTTAATATTATTTTTTTTATATTTTGTAACGCTATGGTGATTACTTTCAAACTGAACCAATGAATGTAGCCTAGTCAATTATGTAAATTGTGTTGATTTGTGATAATATGCAAAGACTGTTGTTAATACTTTTGTGTTGAATGTAAAACGTTTAGAACCTGATTTTGAAAATAAAAGCAAATAAAAAGTTTTGGCTGTCTAATTTTATTGTATTATTTAGTTCAAAAACAAATTTCCATTCGCAATGTAAAACTATGGTTTTAGCAAGCTTTTATTAGCGGTGACGACTGGGATGATTTCTAAGTGGAATCCCATTCGTCACCTGGGGGTGACATATGGGATTTTTTTTCAATATAATTCCCACTTGTCACCGGAGGGGACAAAGCTTGGGGTGACGAGCGGGAATAACCGATTAAATCCTATCCCATTTACGTCAGTATTTATCTTTCTCTGAATCATACTAACGGAGGATGTTATTCATCTTATACCAAAAGAAGAAAATGTTTCATATTGACTGGTTTTTAATTCCACTACCCCAATACTAATTCGAAGATATCTGTTACTTTGCTCGTTTTGAATCCAAAACAAATAATATTTATAAAGTGGGAATAGTTCTCCTTACCTGATTTTGTGTTGCGGTTTCCCTGCCAGTCACCTGCTGTGGTGTACGATATAATAGTCACCGCAACACTTGACGACCTTGCACGCAGCTAAGGGACAAAGTCTGTTCAAGTTTTGCACTAAGAAATTTGCTTATTTTAAAACCGGTATACGTTTAAAACATGGCTTAACTGTACAGGTATATCTTTTATTTGTGAAACCAGTAACATCGTACAATATCGGAAGTTATTGTTTGCATGTTACTTTATTATTCTGTAAATATTTAATAACTACAATGATTGTTCCAGCGTTATGCAAGTGAAACCAGGTACCTATGCTTCTCTAAACACTTTGTCGGTTAAATATTAAATGTATCGCTCGGTTCAGAAATTCCGAGTGTATAAGCTTTATGTATAAAATAAGACGACATTTACTTGCCAACGTAAACACTGCGTTTGTCCCAGTTCGAAATAACATTTCCCAGGTTGGTGGCCTGTAATGCTCGCTTCGAAATGTCAGAGGTCGATCTGTTAGCCTGATAAGATAGAAAGAGCTTTGCGAGTGTTCATATAGCTCATTCACTTGCAAATGAATTCATTACTCTTATATTTCACTGTAATATAATCTGGGCCAGTTGGTTAGCTAGATTGCTATTTATTTATAAGAGCACAAACTATTTGGCTGGACGCAACTTTCCAATTTGTTTGGGTTATATCCTGCTCGCTTTGTAGTTCGGAATAGTTCTTGTAATTAAAGCTTCTGTGGACCAGGAATATAAATTAGTTCTTAAGTAGGTAGTAATGTAGGACATTGTTTCATTTAGGATGTAAAGGAACAGAACCGAAAAAAATAGCAAAGACTTCCTTATGTTGTATGCTTTACATTAACTACATAAGATTGGCTTTCATAAGGTGTAATTTTGGAATACGTTAATCCTGGATTGTCTGTATATGTAATGAATAGCCTAGACACGTCTTTGTTAGTGCTTAGTCGGCAACAATGGACTGCGTGTACAATTACAGGGTGCTATTCAACTTATCCACTCAACTACTCCAGACTAGACACATTCGTCCTCACTAGAGCGCTATACTCTATGAATCAGTTCTTTTGTACCTAAAAAGACTCAAACGAAATAGCATTATCCAAAGAATTTGAAGAAATTCAAAATGGCTCATGATTTTTAATGTCTATTAGTATTATTTTTGTAAACATCTATCAATTTGGTGTTTAATTAAAATAATTCTGGTAAAGCACTTGGTAGCCGTGAGCCTCGTTAGATTTTATTACCAGTCCATTCGCCTAATTATTG